TTGGGGACGACCACGCCGTCCGCTGCGGCCTCTCCGGCTACCTCGCGTTCCTCGACGCGGTTTGGTAGGGCACTCTTTAAGGGTGTGCCCCACCTCATTGCATCTGTTACATTCTGAAATAATAAAGTAATAAAATGAACATATATAATTTGTGAGAACAAGTGTGAGAACAAGTCATTAGTTTAAAGTTACTGATTTCTCTTTGCTTTTTGACGTCTGCTAAAAAGTTGCGAACGATAAAGACGTTAGAGATTTTCCATGCCCAACAAAATACAAAAAAACATGTATTAGAATTTGAAACCTGTTCTCGTTGAAGTTTCTCCTGATTTGGTCATGTTAAAAAAAAATATAAATACTCACTTAGGCATTACAATACTTAGTTTTGCATTTCACAAAATGCATTTAGATGGTTGTTATAAAGAGCAAGAGTGAATTTTACAGTGTTGCGGAGCTGCTTTTCATACTATATTCATTGGCATTTGCTTAACATGAAAAACGATCATAAAGATATTCAATTATCATACATGTATAAGTACTATGTTAAGCACAAGTACAAAAAACACTCTTAGTCGATATATTGTAAAATTTATGCAACAAACCTTTTTGCTTCTTTCGATTTGCTTCTTCTGATTAAGACGATTCATAAAAAAGAGATATTTTGTGTAGGTTTGAGTCAGCTGCATGCACATGTATTTAGCTATTAACATTTTTGAAATTTTATATCTATTCCGATGAACTGGCTCACCTTTATCCCCCCTTTCTCGTTTGTTTTGAGTATCTGAAACAAAGAACACACATTAAACTGATTGGATAACATGCATGTTAATAAACACAATTCTTTTAAGACTAAGCAGTTTCTCATAAGCACGATTCAGTAAGGTTGATGGTGATGTAATAAAATTGAATCAACTATTGTTGAACATTTCACACTTTGCCATAAAGACACGTTGCAATATTTCTTTTCACTTACTGAAGAAAACTAAGATACTTTGCAAAAAATGTTATTTATCGTTTTACCATTTCGTGCTTCTTTTTCGGCCAAATAGAATATAATGTTTATCATTAGTTGTACAGCGTGAACAAACTTATCGTCTTATGCCCAGCGCCAATATCGCACAGTGGCAAATATGCCATGTGCCCCGCGATTCATGCTAAAAGGTAGTAACAATGCGTCATGGGGTACCGCGATAAGAAAATTCCTTGGGCACCAAGATGTGTAAACGCAGCGATGCTCATGCCTTTATACGAATAAAGTAAACGGACGTTCAAAGCAGTGACACATGATATATAAATGGAATCATAAATACAATAAAAAATGTCATTATAGTTTCGCCTTCGGAGAAAGCTTAAACATTTATGCTTTCGTAACCTTGTGATGCAGCGTATTAATGTATAGAGCTTTTGGTAGAGAATAAGGCCATCCCAAGCATAAAAACAATCAAAATATGCATATGGTTGTGTCTAAATATATATGCTTATTTTACTTTGGGTGAAATTATTGAAACAATCTGGTTGCTATAAAGAATTGTTCACTTACATTTTTTCTTACACGATAAACTTGCTACACTAAAAAGGGTAGCAATGTACAACTCAAAAATCTTGGCGTTATTATTTGAAAAGTTGAAATATTTATCCTGAGACGACCAAATCAAAGCTGTGGTTAATAAAGGCAATCAAGACCTACCCTCAGCATCGTGTTGAAATGGGAACATACAATCAACATATTTTTGTGCTTTTTCATGTACAACAAATGTGTACAATTCTATCGAGACCTGTGTGAGAAATGCTGTGCCGTGGCCGTGTGGTCAAGGTTATTCGTATTTATTTATTTGTAAAGAACGGAAGCGGAGAAGCGCTTAACGAACGTCTTTAAATCAGAAACAAGAAGGAACAATGTGAAATTTATCAACGGACAGGCTACACTAAAAAAGATATTTCGTCTGACATTGGATTTGGTGCTTTAGAATTCAGACAAATTTAGTCATATCCCGAACACTCGATAAATGTTCATTTAGAAATTGCAAACTTGTGCAATTGTATTTAATGCCAATGCCATATTGTGTTGGAAAATTCTTATATTGTATGATTTTAGCTAACTTCCAGATGCTCTTAACTATATGTTCCTTATATTTGTCATGTTTTAGATAATTTAAAGTATTGACTCCGTTGTAAAGAAATAAATTGTGAACAAGTGTTAAACAGAACAGTGTTGTTAATATATTTAAACCCTGAAATATTACCTCAGCATATGCAAGTATCAGTTAGCAAAACTGCCTCAGTTGATACTTTTGCAACTGATTGTCATTAACTTATAGGAAATGTTTCAAAAACTTCTACTTCTGTTAGATCAAAAAAATCTGAATTTAAGCTCCAATTTCGCAAAAAATGAAGACTAAAAACTGAAAACTGAAAATTTGCAGTAAGCTACGAAGGCGTGTTTCGTATTGTATCAATGTTGCTGAAGTCTTGAAAAAACAGGAACTAATATATGTTGCTTTTTTATGGTGATTATTAAGTAGCCAAGCAAATAAGAATGAGGGTGCCCCCCATCTAAAAATTAGGAATAGGCTGTTTGTTTGGGCTAGTTAACGAAAGAGGAATGTAATCGTGTTACATGATTTATTACTTTTTTAAAAGTGTCCTTAGAATGGGAAAAATCACAATTTACTCATTCAGGAGTGAAAAGTTTCATGAATACTCTAAGACACTAAAAGGTTCTCAATATCGCCCCCAGTTTGCAGCTAGCAACTGCACCACTTCCAAATCGAGGGCTTGAATATCACTCGACCAAATGATCTTAACCACAAAAGCTGCATGTCATCATAAATTACTGCAATGGCTCTTTGATATGTTAAAAATTCAGGCAAGAAGTTTATTCCCTCCCCCTCCCCTAACCTCCCAAAATTGAAGCTTTCCTACGCCTATGCATCTGATTTTAATCTCATTAACACCAACATAAAACCACTCATGTTTCACAACGGCAAATAAATTGCTCTATCTAAACACAGGTTTCTACTATTGCTTAACCCCCTATTGTTCACTGTAGCAGATTTGCAACAACTACTGCTTCAACCTCTTGAAAAAAGATTTACAACATAACGAAATTGATTTAAAGATGCAATACGGTAAAGAAAATCAAAACTTAACTGCAGCGTAAACGTTTTTGAGAAACTAATCATATTTTAGTTACACTAATAGGCTCTTCCTCCAGTATCTTAAGTATATTCATATACATCATAATTTGTAATTTTACATAATTAGTACTATATTTTGTTATGACTACATTGGCAAGATTAATTAAATTTAATAATGACCTACTGTGGTTTTGTATTGTAGCTCATAGAATTTCTATTGTTTTTGCTCGGTTATGAAGTCATTTGGATTTCTCTATGTGAGAGCACTCGTACTACGTGTACGTCAGCAATTTATGTTTACTATAAATGTTTGGACTGTCTCCTTCATTTTTATTCCAAAATTCATCAAATACACTGTGAATGAAACACTATCTTTCGAACTTTTTTCACATCAAATCACCCGGCGAGTAAATAGAACATATAGCGGAGAGTGCTCAGATGAATCGCAGTTTCAGAATAAAGTTTCTTGCGCTTTACAAGTTATATGATTATCAAAAATCATGCTATTAGTTGATGATTTTACGTGACATAAATATGAATCTTGCAAGCGGCGCTTTTGTACGTGTTTGTTGATAAGACAGTATTAAAACACCAAAACCGGGATATATGGTACAAAATATTTTTACTTTTATAGCAATTAGCAAATTAGCAGCCAATTTCGGTGCTATTTAATGGCATTATTCATTTTACAATAGCTGAAAAATTCAAAACATATTGCACTCTTCCCATCATTCACTAACATTTTCCCTAATTTTCCATTTCTTTAGTCGAAGCGAAAGAATAACCATATAATGTAATAAATTTTCTTTAGAGCACTCTTCAAAGAAGCCGACCAAAAAATGTCCCAAATGATAAATTTCATTCAAAATGTAATGTAGTTTCTTAATGAACAGTGAAATCGTACAGAACTTATAGAATTACTACCTGCTTCGTTTAAGCTTTCCTTCTGTAGGCCTGCTAATATTCTATCTTTGTTCGAGGCTGAAGGTGATACTGTGATTAAACTTGTATTAGATAACCACATTGTTTTATATTTAATTTTTACGGCATGTTTTGCGTCAAAAACAAAGAGAGGAATTCGGCTTCAGCAAAACAAGAATATATTTGACGTGGCACTTGAGAACCACTATAGAAATGACTTGATTTTGTCATATTTAGCTACGTACACCAAAAGCAAATGTTCTTATTGTCAATAAAATTGAGATTTCTGCAGCATTCTTCTTTAACATTTTGTGACTAGACAGACATGAATTTGTTGTGAATGCATGACCTAGCAAATTCAAAAGCAATGACTTTTGCTGTAACAATAATATCAAATTTTTGTTTCGAGTTAACAAGAGTTTCCTTAAACATCTCGAAGCTTATTCTTTCCCTATGCATAAATTTGAAAAATAAAACAAACAAGAACTTCATGCCAAAGTATATTAATTTTGTCGTGTAGAAGATCTTTTGCTTCTCTGTCAGTTTTGGTGAGCATTCAGACAACAGCAATGACATTATTTAGCATTTCTATAGCATTATGTAATTGAATGTGTTTCGAACCAATCATAATTCTTGGTCAAATAAGCATAAACAAACACTTCTTTGATAATGCATTATAATTTTTGTGCGCCTTCTTTTATAGTCAAACACGCGTTTCACATACAAAAATACGATCCGCATAGTTAAGATTAAAACGCAATGGTTCCTACGTCACGCAAGCTCCGCACTTTTTTATAAAAACGCCGTCTCTACATGCCCGACAGCAATTTTAATAAATGATAAAAGTTAAACTTTGAAAGCCAATATCTAACCCTAGCCGTATCCTTATCTCGCATAAATCTTAGATCTACACCCCCTCCCCTATTATATTGTCCGTCCGATGCACCAGAGTTTCTTAGCTGTTACGTCAAATATTCAGTTACGAACTGGATAGACTTGTATTCATTCTGTATACTGAGCATACACTGTTTGCTATAGCTTTTTGGGGGTATTTTACGACATTAGAAGTGCTCAGGATTACAGATCGGGAAGATTCGAAGGTATGTCAAAGCTCATTGTTTTAAGTCTGTTTGGTATTGTAATATGAATTTAAACTCGTGATATGATTCATCATGTTCGGCAGTATGTATTGCTTTTCATTATTCAAAAGATCTTAAATTTGCGAAATTATTTTTCAATTAAAGTGTAGAAAAAGTTTGGAATTTTCAAATCTGGCATATCATTGACTGTGAACTGTACTTCTGCATTTTGTATTTTGCGATTTAAATTTGCATTTTAAGTGTCGCCATTTTATTTACTTATGCTTATATCACTGTAGCAGTGTCATGAGCATTGTATGAATTGCTTCTGAGTTTTACATCCCGGACACTGTCAGTTCCGATGCAATATATGAAGAAGATTTAGAAGTTTAGTATTGGCTTTTTTCATTTGAGATGTAAAATAAATACATTTTATGCTAAACACGCTTTGTTTTGTGATGTTTGCCCACAGCATTAGCTAAGAAAAGATGAGTCGATTGATTTGCACTACTCATAAATCACGGCCGCAAATCAGTAGTTTTTCAAAAATAGACAATCAACCGAATGTTCACGGAAATTAGCCGTTCGCTGATTATTACTTCGTTTCTTATTTTATTAAAGATGGTACACTGTCTAAAATCTTTTTGTTTGTCGTACTGTGAATGCGCTAAAATATCACATATCGCATTGCAACTGGACACCTTGGTTTTTAAACCCCGTGCGGAAGATAACTGGTGTTGGTGTTAAATAACTTTGCAATATTAAATGAACGAAGTACAATATAAACGTGATATAAATTAGCTCGAATTGCTTCTTTTAGTGCTAAAGTGTTATTATATTAATTGACAAATAATCACGTTAACGCGAAGGAGAGGAAAATTAGAACACAATTAGAACACAATTAGAACAAGTCTTTATTTGCTGTTAAATTAATGAAAATAATTGATGATAATGAACAGTGAATAATTAACGATATGATTTTTGATTAACGATAAACTAACAAAAATTAGCAACAGTCTACATACTTAAAATTGCGAGGAATGTAAAATTGCCGTTGATTAAATTAAAGCAAATTTTTAAAATTAGTGTTAAAAAGTATATCTTCGTTTCAATGACATGTCTCGTTCGGGGAGCTCCAGAGGTCACGCCTGCAAAAATGTAGAGCAACATTAGCATCCAACATTTCAGAAAAACGCATAAAGGAAGATGTTGTCTAATGAAGATGAAAATTTTCATAAAATGGGTTACATTTATATGGGATCCGATCGTTTAATTGGTTTGCAATTTGACGATGCACAGCAGGTTTTGTTTAAAGCACAGTACCCACTGCTCTCCTTTTAATAGAGAGCTTGAGCAAGAGACGACTACGACAAGGAGTACGAAGGGAATGGAACTAGGAAGTTTGTTGTCGTTGTTGCTTCCTCAAAATTTTGTTTTAGCTGTAAACAACAGAACGAGCATTTTACTGTGAAAACACCGAATTTTGCGAAGCAGCTACGGCTCTATTGGTCAATAATAATATTGATGAATTGGTAATATTGATTTGGCAAGAAAATAGGATTCTATAGAGAGAAATCTTCCCTATTTTGCATTTTATGTACGATATATTTGTACGATTTTACTGCTTGTTTTTCTTTCATTTTGCATACGAAATACGTGAAAGTTTTGATTGATGACGGCTACTGCAACAATATTTTTGCGCCAAAAATACGTACTTCGTACTCCTAATCATATTCGCAGTCTTTGCTAAAGCTCCCTAATGTATTTCCGCGCTCTTCTCTACAGGTGCTGAAATATAACCCGGTTTCCTTGTATATCCAATATCTGATTTTCGTTCAAGAAATTTTTGCAACATACTCGATTGTTCTGCTTTATAGCATTTTGATCAACATTCAGTACCAAAACCAGCACAATTTAGGTCTCTAGGTCTCTTACCGTTCAGTTCTAAACTCGGCCTTCTTTTATCTATACACTCATTATCTTATCTCTGTAAATGACAAAAGCGTGACCTTTCTGAGTTTTTGTGAATGGTGTGAATATCTTATGTTTGCATTTTTGATTCTGTCTTAACGTATCGCTTTTAAAGGAAATCATGGCATCTTAATCTATGCAGCTTCTAGTTCTGCTTCCTTTCTTTTCCACATTGGAATTGTCTGTTCTAACAACTGTTTTGTAAGCCTTGCTCATCGTCCATGCTTATACTCTTTTATCAAACAATACACCTGATATTTTTCTGCGTGTATCTCATTCACGCTGCCATCATGCTGATCTTCGCCATATTTTGACATTCTCCATTTGCTCTAGACTGTCGATCTTTCAAAAGTTTCATCTTCGTGGGCGTTTTGGGCCTTGAAGTAGGTGACTTTGCGCCGACGTAAAATGGAGAACACATGCATTAAAGATATAAACTATTTAAACTATCATGAAAATATTCTAGACTGCTTCTGAAATACTTTATAAATTCCTGTTGAGATAAACATTGAGCTGTTGTCTTCCATTTATATTATATACAGTGCTGTAGAACTAGATTTCTTAAAGGGCGCTCTTTTGACGAAGCTGAAGCCATGAATTTATGAAAAATTACCAATTTCAAAGGTCGAAGGAGGGCTCCTCTCCCAAGCGCCTCCCCCCCTTCTACAGCACTGATTATATATAAGCACTGTAAATGTTTTGAAACAAATAATTCATAGGTTCGTGAAAAAAATTTATTTACTTGCATTGTTTTAGCGAAAATTAGGTGCATTTTCCTTCCGGTGAATTCTTCATTGGTGGACTATAGTCTTTCAGATGAAAGAGGATAGATTATATTCTTTGGCGTGAAAATATGTGAACAATAGTCTTTGTTGTGAAAATTCATGGATTATAGTCTTTTTAGTGAAAAGCATTTAAGAGTGTTTCTACTACTAATTTATAATTTAGGTTATGCTGGTCCTGTCTTTTTTGTTCTTTACTTTATCGCTTGCCAGACGAGGCAAAGCAGCCAATTCTTATCGCGTTTCGCATATATTTTGCATCATGATCAAACTAAACTCTCTGATTCGAAATAAGCTTACCTCCATAAAATGGGGCAGAATTTGTTCATAGTTTTTCATAGGCGATCCAGAAAATCACTTAGCAGTAGCTAAATAGTTCAAACAAGCGATAACTCTCGCCATTCCATTGGAACAGACCATGCGCTGCAAGCTTTGAATTAATTAATAGTATTTATATAATCTATAGAGTCTTGGAGAAAATGTGAAAAAATTATGTAAATTATTTTTTTATCGTTACATTCAGTGTAGAAGGTCGTGAATTAATACATTGAAAACATAAGTTTAGAATTACAAGCGACGACTTCATCATTTTACAATCAATCCTTACCGTACTGTAATGAAAGGACATTGTAGAGATGTGGCGTGACCATTGAGTTTAGAGTGCCAAGATTTTATTCTTATTGGAGTTATAAATAAGAAAATACTTGTAAAACAGAAATGAGTCATCAATGGGAGATGAGTCATCATCAAAATAAAGTGATATTGATAATAAAATGCTTCTGTCCAACTGTTCATTTCGATATTAGCAAATAATGAAATAAGACAGATAAAGAAAATTTATTTGAAAATCTATTATAGTGAGCGTAAACGAACTCCAGTGCATGGCGTCGCTATCTTACAAACAGCCACTATAAAATTGAACAAATACACAAAAGAAAATCAATAAAAAGCATGTGAAGTTAAAAACGTCTGATTGTCGAAGATTATTCTCCATGCATGATTTACTGATGTATCTTCAAGACAAAAATTTTCTTCAAAAATCTGTATGCAAGGGCCCATCCCTACTAAGCTCAGTTTGAGGCATCATCTTTTACCAACCTTGGCAGGAATCGAACCAAGCAACGCGAGGTTGATTGGCAATGTGTTGTAGCACTCGTTGTCTCACAGCGCTTGCTGAATGGAGTAACTTTTTATTGTGTATAGCCCCGTTCAACTGTTTACGAGCCAAATAAATAATAAAAGGTGCCCAACCCTGACGATGATTACCATCAAGAAAATCGAAGCGTACTTACCTATATAAGCGTTCTTACGAGCGATGACAACAAGGCAATAAGGTTTTTTAATTCCCCATTACTTAAACTTATATATGCAAAGTTCAACATTATGTAACACGGGAAACGTAATCTATTTAACCTCGTAATCATAAGCGATAGTTCTTATCTTCTCTTTTATCCATTTACCAACTGTTGAAATTTGTTGCCAATTCTTTTTATCTATCCTTTCGTGTACCTTTTCATTTATCCTATTGTCGACCTTTGTATCAACCTTTTTTCTACGTTTCTGTCTATTCTTTGCCTACCTTTGTGGCTACTTTAGTGTCCATCTTTAATATCTACCTTTATGTCTATCTTTATGTCTACCTTTTCGTCCTCTGCCTTTATGGTTACCTTTATTTCTATCTTTATGTCTACATTTATGGCTACAAAAAGTTAAGAGATTTACATAAGAAGTTTATGTGTTCAATTATAATATAAATATAAAACATTTACCCTGAGAAGATAGAGATTTTGATAAACTGTTGCCTATAGTAAGGTTTTTCTTACGAAAAAAAAAGCAGAAACAGATTAAAAAGTGTTTACATTTTAAAATATGTATTTGGGCAAAAGATTGACTTTTAGAAATTGATCGTCAGTAGTGAATCAAACATATTCATTTTAGGAAATCAACTACATTTGCGTATAGTTATGAATATTATATTGGTTTACGTTACTTTCTATAGTACTAACTGTTGTCATTTGATGTGTCCTAGTTTAATATGGACGTAATGACATTTTAGGTGCAATTTATGAAAAAAAAGACTCCATCTTCCGTTGTCGACATAATTAAAAAGAGTTTGAGTGGTACCCTTCAGTTTTCTCACATGCAAGCCTCCAAGCATCAGCAGCATGTGCCACAGTAACTTCATTGGTAAGCTCTCTCTAAGATCTTCAATTAGAGTACAACCATCTTGTTCAAGCTTCCTGTTGATGTACTCAGCTAAACTTTATCAAAAAAATCATATACAAGTCTTAGCGACATGAATTATCGGGGACGAAACTTGGGTTTTAAGAATGATGGGAGAGGAGGGGCAAGGACTTGAATGTGCCCGAAAAAAATGGGAAGTATATAGCTAATTCGGTTAAAAAAGAATGTGATATGATTTTGTAGATAATTATTAAACTATTTCATAAGATTTCGAAAGTTTTATAAGTGATAATATTTTACGTTAAAATACCTAAAAAGTTTATTTATTCGATTATTTTTAAAACGACTTCTTTCCTATAGGTTTACTAAGTTTTGCCTGACGAAATGGCGAAATCACTTTAGTCATGTATGCCTCCGCCAGTTAGTTAAACACAATAGTTTCAAAATAAGTAAATAACATAACATTTTTTTCGGTAAGCAACATGATGCCTTATTATGAAATAAAAACAATAAAACTCAGGCGGTGATTCGTCTAGAGCCGTGTTTGCATTAGCCTGCCCAAAACACATTTGAGCTCAACCAATCCAATCAATCAAAACAATCATTTAGCCAAAGAGAATTTGCAAAGTGATCATGAATGCATTATAGAGGAAAAATTAAAATGTTTGTCTTTTTCACCATGTTTCATTTTATAAAAGAAATAAAAGATGTTTTCGTGTTTGCACTGCCTTATGCAAACCTCGGAGACGTTTGTGAGAACTCTCGAGCATGTGTAACCCTTGACCTTCCGTCTCAGGCTTGCATTGATCTTCTCTTAAGTTCTCCCAAAGGTCTCCTCGGTTTGCATAAGCCCGTACAAACACAATAAACATTTTAATTTCTTAAATGACAAACACTTTTTGAGATACAACATGGGTTCAGTATATCGAATAAAATGATCAACCAACAGTACCATACAAAAAGTTAAGATATGCATAAAAAACACTAAGTAAACAAGTTAATAGAGCACGTGATTTAAATGATTTGATTACTTACGGCATTTGTAACTTTTCGTCAGTTGCATTTTTCAAAAACAGCAAAATAAGCTTCAACAATTCATCAACAAATCGGTCAATGTTGATTTTCTGCAACCCTCCACAGAATTTGAACTTCAGTTTTGGTTTCAGTGCCGTTTTAATCTTATCTGTTACGTCATCAAATGGATCCTATAAGATATTCAAATAATACCCATACATCCATCTTGTGAGAACTCTTGAGCAGGTGCAACCCTTGACCTTTGGTCTCGGGCTTGCACTGATCAGCAAAGAATTTCTCAATTTCCATAAGCCTGTGCACATACACTAAATATATACTTATTTCTTAAATAATTTTAGGACATCAAAAATAGAGTTAAAGTTAAATTAATATCATTAACTTTATCACATAATATATCGCTACTGATTATTGCAAGTAGAACAAACCTGTTTATTTTGAGTTAATATTCTCGCTCTCTCTAAGGATAACAATTTCCAAAGCGCAACAACATGTTGAAGCTGACAAAACTGTTCTACCTAAAATATATTTATCAAAACAATTACAACAAACGGGGTAAGATTACATAACTGATTTATTTACCATTCCTCTTACAAAAAAATTCTTGGTGAATAAGAAAAAGAAACACAAAAAAGAAACACTCATTAGCAAATGGTTTTTAGTACTTTTATTTTAGAGATGCATACCTTTCCACTCTTTAAAACATTTTCAGGATCAAGTTTCAATGCTGATTTCATATAATCGCTGATAAGCATTCCAGGATTTCCTCCAGCAGATGATAAAAAACCAATGACAATGTGGAGATATTTAAGAACATCACAAATTTCCGGTAGTTGGTTCAGTTCACTGAAAATCTGATGTCTTACTTGTCGACTTAGAGTAACCTATAAAGAAAAAAATTTAAACGACTTTCATGAAAAAAATCATGGGGCACAACTGTACAGGAAAGTACAAAACCCTTAATACGATTTGCATGTTTTTAATCGAAATGTTTGATATTATATGAGTTATGATGCATCACATATTATAACAAGGCAACCATATGTATAATTGAGCATCAAATTTCGCATTAACTACCCAAATATTATTTAGCTGCAAAGAAAAATACTGTATTAATGATGGCCACAAAAAATTTCCTTTTGTTCAATTTACCAATTTACAAAGAGGAATATTAAATAATGGATTTTGTCTGTTTTTCCATTTAATAGTTTAACTAGTTGTCTTATTATTTTACCTGAGGTATTTTTTTACTCAAAGCTTTAAAAACAGCTCCATCACAAATATCTTTACTGAAGACAAATAATTGAACCTAAAAAGATAATACATTTTAAAATAAAGCACAACCACTTTTGACAGAACCATCTTAATAAGTTGTAATTTTTAGTGCAATTCATGCATTCGTATTTCTATTTTCGCTGTACATGATAAACAATTAAATAAAATTCAGGAAACTAACCGAGGATGTAATTCTAGGTTTTTCTCTAATAAATCTGTCGACAAGTTGTCTTTCTAAAGATTTCCAGTTAAAGTTGACAACAGTTTCTTCAGTTTCTTCAGTTTCTTCACAAACTTTTAGTGAATAATCACAGTGAGCCAGGACCATCGGTAAAGATCTCTCTCTGGGTCATAAGCAACCAAATGCCCCTAGTAACGTTTGACAGTGGCAACTCCTCTAAACTTTAAAGATTTTAAGATTGATTCATCATAGAGAAAAGAGTAAAGAATACTATGAAGAAGTACGAGTAAAAACATGTTTTATCAGGTATTAGGATTGAAGAATGTATAATTTTATAAATTATAATCAGCTTTTACAAATAATTTTGACAAAAATTGAATGAAGTTCGTCACAGTTAAAAAAACGCAACAAATCTTAGTAACTAAGTTAATCTTACTTTTTCTCTTCCTTCAACAAGCTTTTACATCGTCCAATAAAATTGTTATGTAAAGACACAAGATAATTTGTCAGTGCCAAAGAACACTTTCCCAATCCTTTCCACGAAGGCAGCAACATAGATATCGGTGTGGCGTTGGTAACTTCCTTCTCACTCAACTCCTTCGAAATTCCGTAAAGACCTATCAAAAACAGTCAGGCATGTTGAATTTAAGTTAATGAATGTGGTTTGAGAAAGATTGATTAATCAATATTGTTCATGTTTTAGATGACTGGTGACGACGAATTGTTGACAAATACATTAAATAAATTACTATGCACTAAATTGACCATAACTTAATTCTTTTAGGACTCACCACTTTGTACAAGAGATGCTTTGATGATTTTCCAAGCATTTCTGAAATTATCAATTAAGTAAGTGAAATGCTTTTTTGTGTCAGGGTCTGCAAAAGATAAACAGAAAGCAAAATAAGAGCAACTACTTTCTTTCAGGAGCAAACGCGTGAAAATCATCCAAAACCATTCTAAATATAGAATACTTTTTTTCGACAGTATTTTAGAATAAGTCTGTTAAGATGCAAAGAAATACTCACTATAATAAAATTTTAAGTTTCTATGGGTTTCTAACTGATATATTTTCTGTTCCTGATATATCCAAAATATTTGGTTTACACTAGATCATAGATCATAACTCAAAAGTAGATTAAATTTATTATCTATATTGGAAAATGGAGATTATATAATTTATTATTGATTTGAAGAGGTGAAAAAGATGTATGATATTGACAGAAAAAAACCAGCTGTAATGGAAGATACAAATTATTTTTTGGTATGTTGTATTTATGAAGTCGAAAAAAATTCAACGAAATATTTCTATTTTGCATCAATATGTACATTATGCATTAGTTATTAAGAATATTTAGGTGAATCACAATTTATAACGATACATTTATTACAATTTTCTTGATAACATTACTTGTGCCAACAATGGAAGAGCACAAAAGAGGAATAAAGTTAATTAGATCCATTATTAGATCATATAATTAGGTCAACTGATATAGTTAATGACTATCACATTTAGTTTTATGAAGTTATAGGCATTAGAAAGTGATTTCAAGACATGCTATTTACGTAGCATCCATACGTCACAAGCCACGCTTAAGTATTTTGGAAGTAAATTTGACTACTCTTGATCGCTATTTTGTTTGCTATAGCAGCACAAACTAGTTTTACATTTTATTACTGATAAAAGAAAAGCTGTAAATGCAATATAATGTAGCAATAGAATTGATAGTAGTAATTCAACCATTTCTTCATGAAAAACAGTGTATAGCCGTACCTTTTTTATATAAGTGTCCAATCGTATATTTTTCAGCTTCGTTTTGATCTAAGCGACGATGAAACTTTTCAAAAAGTAATCGTTGCAGCTTTATAATTTCGGGAAGATATTGTAGTGCACGAAGATGACATTCCTGAGAATACAAATAAATAAATTAAAACCAATGTGCGATGTATGACAAAATCTTTAAGGAAATGGCTATTGAAAAATAAATATATTTAGCGTATATAAGACACTAAAACTTTTTATATATCGACATTATTTATTCAAATTTGTATATTAAACCTTTCCGTTATGAAATTTTTTTGTCAATCAAGTTTAATTTCGTTTCATGATTTTGCTGTATAGCAACATGAAGAAAAGATTTAAAAGTTATTATTAGTGCTTTGAACGCGACTAAAAACAAATCTTTTCAAAAATTGTTTCTATTCACTAACAACTTTCGCTTTATATAGAGTTTATTTATATTTAAAATAGATTTAATTTTATTGTTCGACAAAGCTAAAAATGTAAAACAAAGCTGCATTAAATATTAGCACATTTTTAAAATTTATATCTAACATTTTCTCTAGTAATAATGAAAAATTGAAGGAAACATTAATACCTTTTTTAGAAATTCATCAAGTACTTCGCACTTGTCTGCTGGCACAGTAACACCTTGAGAATATTCTTCATATTTAAAAGATAAATATCCAATGGTGATTTTCTTGCGATTCCTCCAAAGTGCTGGACACGAAGGATCGAGATTTGTAACAACATGAGAGCTTGGTTCATCTATTTCGTAGATTTGTTTCATGACTTCATTATTTTCTGGAAAAAAAGATGTTTTGATTAATAATGTCATAATAGAGGTATTCCGTATGTGTCATACTACATTTATATATTAAAATTTGCTTAACATTATTTTTATTTTAAAAAATTTAAATAAGTGAAACAGCGAAGACCCTGAAAATATAATATAAAACATCCAATTGATATAACACTAATTCTAAACTAAATTAAAAGAGTTAATGAATTAAAACTTTTCTATATTGCATCCAAGGAATTATAGCTAAATTACGTCTTGTTTAGTTTATGGTATTGATATTTCCATCTGACCGACAATGCTGTTATCATTTATCATGGAAGGGTGGTTATACGCTATCTGTAAAGTGAGTTTACTTTAATTTGTCTCAAAATTATGAAAAAATATCTGGCTTTTTAAATAGGTTTCTTGTTTTCTAACTAGTTTCTATTGCTATGTGTATCTGAAACAAAAGGCGTCATGTCTCTCAACCCTATGTCGCAAAGGGAAGAATATTTGGTAATATTAAAATTAAAACAATTCATGAACCACTAGGAATGTGGCTGACAACTAGTATTCTTCTTACCCAGTCTTTCATCACTGACTATTTTACTCAAGGCATCTTTTAACAACTCAGACACAACCTACAAAATAAAATATATTCTTAAAATATCGACCAGTAAGAATATGCGCACACGAAGATCCCTCACAGATTTTTATATGATACACTGATAAACATTTTAGCTACTAAAATTTAAAAGCAAGAGAAATATTAAAAAATATATCAATCCAAAAACGAAAATGTCTAGGATAACACCATAGACTTTCAAACCTAAAACCTTTTTACGCTTGTGAAAATTATGAGTTAAAAGATAACGAAATTGAGTATTGGAAGATAGTCATCTTATTTCGTCACAAAACGAAACGTGCTCAGTGAATTTGCATTTTTTAAAAACTGGCGTTCCAAACTACTACAGCTTGACCAATGCACATAGAAAACGACTAAAAAGAATGTGTGTTGAATATTGCTATATATAAAATTTCAGTTTGTCTGTAAAAGAAACACATTCATCCTGCGTAATTAAAAATAAAAACATTTCTGTAAAATTTTATCACAATCCTCCCAAAAGATCTTCATCGGAGGACTTTTCACAAAAGTTGAGTTTTATTAAAACCAATAACAATTATACCTAAAAGCGATGGTCAAAATCAGAATTTTTATGTTGTGTAAAGATTAGCACCAGATGAGCTTACCGATAGAACAGGATTTAGGTAGGTATTCATAAATGTATCTTCCCACGTTTGTCTTGACTCTTTACTGTTCAAATCAGTTTGAGAGAAATCGATGTTTCCTATCGACGACAAATGCATCAAAAATTATATTAAGTATAATTATGACTGTTTTCCACTTCAAATGAAACGTATAGACGAATATCAAAAAGGATTTTATTTGAAATTCTTTTTAGCTTGTGATCATTGGCTGATATTTCTTTAGTAGTTGAGACAAACGTTCTAAAACACAAATGTCCCTGAAGAACATATACTTTAAAGTAAAATATTTAAACTGCATTACAATTATGAAATGTTCTTGTTTTGTTAATTTTTTTGGAATATTTTAACTTCGGTTATTTTAATGTATAGGTATTGAAAGTTCGATTGAAATTTATATATTAATGTTGCGTTATCGAACATGCTAGCTATTAAAAGTAATCAGAAAGTAGCCCATTGTCTGCGTTATATATCGTTCTCATAATTAACGAAATTGGTAGTGAGAAAATTAATCATATTTTGCGTGTCATTTGATTCATCCCTTGCCTTTTGTAGATTATGTAAATCTAACGAGACTGTCAGGAATTTCGAGACTCTATACTGCATGCATGCAGTTGCAAAGCCACAGGAAATGGTATTATTATTTTTTTTACAATTATACTTTGGTTTTGACGTGAAGGCATAAATCTGTATTTTAACACGAATTACAAACTATATTCCTTTTATTAAAATATTATTTGTAGTAGTTGATGAAAAAAGGAACATACCATGATTATTTTTTACGATTTCTACAAAAATCAGATGGATGATAACAGTAGCTTCATCGACGTTACTGCCAACAAATCTTGCAATGGAACATAGATCATTTTGTATATGATCTCTTATAAACTGCACGATATCATCAACAGGTGGTTTGATAATAGCTGAAATTTCCTTGAAAAGATAAAGAAATTATGTATTATCAATGTTAAACATTGTTTTCAATCAACAAAAATTTTATGCGACAAAACAAAAAGTTAATACTTAAAGTAGAAACGGAGAAGTTTCTTAAATTGGCATCTATTAATGAAATATAAAAACTATATATGCTGATAATTTTTTATTGGTCGCCTATACACTAGATACTCACTATGCAGTCTTGAAAAAAGTGAAATCCAGCATCCAAAAAACTTCAATTTAAATCAAAGTTGAACCAAGGAATTGGTTACATTTTGTAACTATTATTGACACGTTTACGTAAGTTCAGCCCTATAAATTAATTAAGTGCCAATGTTTTCTACGAATTTTAAATGTACTTATTTATATTTCACCCCATTTATCAAGGCTATAACAATGTACTATAACTAATCATTATGTGTGATTAGTATATATTTCATATATGTAAGTATATTATTCGACCTGTGTTAATTTTAGCAATCCACGAGTTATATTGTGTACCCATTTTTACCAAATAAATTTCACTCATTTGGATTTACCTCACTTTGGTCTGATGTTCCTAACAACATGGCTAAATGTACCAAACAACGCAAGACACAACATGATAAAGAGTTCAAGTTTCTTTGTGCTGTGGGAAGTTGATCATAAACACGTCCTAGTATGTGACCTGTACTATTTTGAACTTTCCTAAAGTAGATATATAAACTTTAATTTAATGTGCAATGTTAACATGAATGAAGCTCAACTATTTATTAAACTAAAACTATATATTAAATGGTAAAAATAGAAAATAGTAAAACATTAGTTTTAAGTTCATTCGAACGTGCAATGACAAACCTCTAAGCTTGTGTATTAATATCTACTAACCGAGAATTTTCCTCTCCAATTACAACACCCCATTTTAGTGAATTATACGTTTCGTCACCCTACATTGTCAAGAAAAATAAATATTGAAAGCATTTTAAATGTAGAAAGTCAAAATGGATAACAATTTTCAAATCATTCTTCCTTTGATTTATTTGTTGAACTTGCATAATCTTTGTACACTTAAGGTAAAATCAGTAGCAAATTATTATAAAATCTAACTTAACACAATAACATACATAGCGATGTCCGTTAATGCTTTCTAGAAAAGTAAAACAAAAGCAAATTTGTACACAATATCATGAAATATTATTCTTTAAGCATTTGATCTTGAATTTATCTCTATTACTTACCATACGATGTACTATCACCATCGTCAATGACCTCAGGACCATCATGTGAGGCATGGTGGGAATAAATGCATTCTTAGAAATGGAAAGTCAACAAAAATATATAAATGTAATCTGTTATTGTAATCATTAAAAGTGTATGTCTACGTTAATTAGCAGGATGTAAAATGTTAAACACACCACAAGTTTTATCCAAGGTGCAGTACATTAGTTAAAAAATTACTTTTAGCTATTTTGCATTGTAGCTATTAAAATAAATCTTATAAATGCACACACAATGGTTTTGTTTGTACTGTCTTACTTTCTGCTGGTGAAAGAAGCTTTCTTCGTTATAAAATTGAACTCAAAAAATACGTTTTTTTGTTAGGTAATTAGCAATAGTAGTTGTCATATGATGCATATTAAAAACTGTGAACACATACTCTCATTGATCTTGGATTGAAAGCAAGGTTTGAAAATGGACCCAACAGTTGATTATTTGGAAAACAACTCATAACAACCAGAAAATGTATCAAGATATCATTCAAACGTCTAACATTTGCATTTTCCTCCTCAGGTTGTAGGTGAAGCAGCTGCTTATAAGGACTTTCTTTAAAATTTTCTAATAAATTCTTTGCAAGAGGTAGCTGCAACAGATAAAAATATATTGCTTGATTATCAAGAAGAAATTGTGTTTCAAACGAGCTTATATTTCAGCAATTTATTCAAAACTTACAAGAATCTACTCTATCTACTTATATTTAACATGACGTTTTAACATGTTTGGGAAGTTATAAACAAACATGTTTAAAAACGATTTCCAACAAGTTAAAATTTTAAAACTTCCTAAAAGTTTGCTTGCACTTTATGCAATGCAATTTTTAAAATCATACGGTATTTTTTCTGCAGTAAAAACCTGAGTTGTAAAAACCTTCTATTCAGTTACACATACCTCAAGTTTCTTCACGATCTAAAATAAAATTCAAATTCATCATTAACAGGAGCAAAAATATAATAAAATCAACATGAAATTTTTACGTAAAATAATCTTATGCAACAACTTCTGTACAATATATGAAAATAGGTATATTAATATTATAAAATAAAGAAAAACAGACATAAAAAGTAAAACATAAACCAAATTTAGAATGCTTTCATCAACACCTTTCGTTTGCATTGGTATAGCCTGCCCAATCTTTTATAACTATACTTCGAGATTTTCAGCAAAATTATAATTCATTTCTTTTGAAAATTAGTTCCATTTGTTGTTTTTCCATTGATTGAACATTAAAATATTTGCATTGTTCGAGAAAAAACCGAGCTGGCTTCACCATTGATTTTAGAAGTTTTTTATCCACTAATCTTTCATTCTATATTATGAAATGGTGCAAGTAATTACAAGATGTTTTCCGACGTATTTGTTCTTAGCGAAGATTTTGCAAAATCGCCCATAAGCTTGGGCTCAAATGATCTATCTAAATGCTAAATGATCCAACTTAATGCTTAGCTTTGTCATTGGTGAATTAATAAATCCTTGGCTTAATTCAATTCCTTAATATAAACACAAAATAAAGCACAATCTAAGTCAATTAAAACAAACAATGACAGGGAAAGAAGATCCTACATCACTATCTATCATAACATGCAAAATAATTTACCTCAAAAGAAATGCGATTTGCTTCGTTTCCGGATGGAAATTTGGTTTTAACTTCGCCATAAAAAGCAAGTAAAATATAACAAAACTGATTTTGAGCATCGCAGGTCATGTTCTGAAAATTTAAACAAAGACAATTAAATTATAACATCTTTTCTCAATTTGATTTAGAAGTACTCTTCTCTTATAACAGACATTTCACAAAGATTTCCAATTTAGTATAAATATGATATTAAAAGGTGAAAAACTTAGTCAGGATAAAAAATTGATGTCAAAGAATAGTCACTGCAGTGTACTTTCAAGCATAATCCTTAGGATGAGGCATATTCATATGATTTTACAAATTAAACTTTTTTCATATACAACTCGCTAATATTTTCGTAACACTGAGGAACTGTTACTTAAATTATTTGCAATGTTATCTCGAAAAACTTTGGGAAAATCAGACTTTTCTGAAGGGCTAAACCGCCTTAAAGCATTACTTATTACAACAAAGACTCGTTTGACTCAATAAATAAGGAAAAAGTAAAAATAAACATCAAATTAAATTAAATGATCAGTATTCTCAACTAACACATGTTATGCAAATTATAATATATGTCATCACATCAAATTAGTTCTCATTTTTAATTTCATAGTCAATGCTATATAATTGTATATTACCACCTAAGCTAGAGGCAAAGGTCTTTAGTTTCAATCAGAAGTATATAGCTCCTCTACTCTTAAAATGGTCTTTGAAAGCGTAACGGAAAATTCTTAGGCCCGTTTCAAACGTTGATTTTACATAAGCCGAATGCATTTAAAACAAAAGATAATAAATGTCATTCCCACATAGACTTAAAACAGAAATAATGATTTCATTTTCTTTTGCTGTTTTACATTCGACGCATGTAAAATGCGATGTTTAGTAGTGTGAAGAAAAAGATAATTATCTTACTCTTAAGGTCAACTGCATTTCTTCCGAGTTTGATGTTATTATCAATTTGTTCATAGCTTCTCGCACAGTGTGATAGTTTTCACCATGAACTAGAAAATTGTCTTGACTTTTGTCATTCTCCTATATGAAAGCACAAAAAGCTAAAGGCATTTTTTAATCTCAACAAATCATACATGACAAATGTCTCAGTTTATTTTGCAGGATGATCAAGTGTTTATGAAACAAGTATTTAATCTGGTCAATCACAGAATTTAGTGTTAAGAATTTAAAAACTTAAATACAGACAAGACAGTAATCAAGTGGTCACCTTTAACTGTGGAGGCAAAATCCATTTCAATTCTTTGTTTTTACATCTTTCTTTAGCTCCATCTAAACCATTTGAATCATTAAGAACCAGCTGCTTTTGTAAGAACAACTGTAGAAAAGATCGATTTTCACACAAATTTTTAGCTGCTTGGATGCACTCTCTAAGTTTAGGATAGGTTTCCAAGTTTTTGAAAAGATCATCGTTGATAAATGTAGAAAGTTCACTAAACGCAGCCCTTATTAAAGCAAAATCTTTAAGTTTTTTAATGTCCAAGGTTTCACCATTGCAAAAAGTACTTTGTGTTTTAAGAAGGATATCGTTCAACATTTGGATTTCAACACTGCTTTCAGTTTGTTTTGCTTTTAATAATTTCCCTATTTCAACATCCTATAAAAAAACCATACGAACAAATAATGATGAAGAGAGCTCTATATGTAGCACAGTTTTATAAGAGTCCAACACACTTCAAATTAGGCTATGTAGATTTTTGCACTCTCTTACCAAGTTAAAAAGAAAAAGCGTAACTTGATAAAGTTGTTAGGCAATGTAATAATATCGATTTTTACCTCGATACAATGAACAAACAACACGCAAACGCTCATCAAATGTTTCTTGTTGGTGGATAAACCTTGAGCACGACTGAGATATTCTTCTAAATACTCACAAACTTCACTTTCTCTATAAAAATATATACACTGCATGTTTCGATGACAATTAACACAATTCTTGACGAAATTCTCATCACATAAAACCCTTCATCGTGTGGAAAGTTTTTGTATATGGCCATAAAAAGCAAGTTATAAATTGTACAAAAAATCTTTTTATCAAAAAGTTAATCTAAAAAGATCTATTAAAATTGTTAGGAATTTTCATTTAGAGTTTTACTAAAGTCTATCATACGTTCAACACAAAATGAATTTTTTACAAATGCACATTCAAAAAGGACAGTTTATTATATCCGATTCCAAACCTATTCAGGAAGCAAATTTGAACTCTAATAGTTAAAACATATTCCACTAACTTAGAATTACCAAACTCTTGCAAAATATGAGAAATGCCATTTGAATTTTTAATTGTCAATGCATACAACATGCGAAAAAATCACGTTACTGCATGCAAAGTTGGTTTTTTCAATCTCTGTACCCCTCCCACTTTTATTGTCCTTTAAATGCTGTCAACTTTTCCTGTTTTCATTAGCATATATACACACCTTCCTTTGATTGCAAGAAGACGTTGTAAAATGTATGATCTTATAACTGGAGTGACATCTATGCCGTGACCATTAAAAGGAGTAAAATCTTCAGTCACATTTTCATCTTTAATCACATAAGACATGAATTTTTGCACAAGTTCATCTTGTGGTAAATCATCACCAAAGCAATAAACAGAGACAACATTCATGAAAAAGGATTTGCAACGATTACGAAAGCTTTTCCATGTTTCCAAAGAAACTCTAAATAACAAATATAAGTAAACGCACTTTTATTACTAACATAAGCTAAGGCAAGTCCTTTAAATTATAGATCGCTAAGAAGAAATGTCTTAATTTTCGACTTATTGCTATCTTTGTTATGTGCAATTTTTAGAGCTTCAATTTGAAAAATGCATCTGCTATTTAATGGTAGAAACCATGTAAATATTTTACACATATCTACGATTAAAGAAAAACATGTCATTTATCTAACCATCTATAAAACTATAAGCTCTTTACCAAAAATTATTGGAGTGAGATCTTGTATAGATCGAGCATGTATAGGTTTTGTATAGGGTTTAAAAATAAAAATACATTATTCATTCTTGACAAAACAATACAAAAATAATAAAAAAGTATTGGCAAAGAATGATTTCCATTCAATTACAGGTTTAACACATTAATTTAGTTATTTAATGTCTGAAATTTTACTTATGTAAAAATTGTCGAGAAGTTTTATAATTTTGCTCACATTGATGAATTGCTTGTCTTCACTTATGCTATAAAGGTTTACCAAATGCAGCCACATCAAGAAATACTATGTTTCTTTTACTTTCTTCAACGTGTGACATGCATACTCAAATTAAGGGTTTATCACGACACACGTGTATTGATATTCCTTTACCTTTTCGGTTCTTTGCGTGACTGACGTATTTATGTTCGCCATGATTAGTACATCATGCATTTTAATTATACGTTTTCAACTGTCTATGTATCATAACTCATTAACGTATCAATGAAAAAGCTCGCAGAAAATTACAATAATAGGTGAAAATCTTAACTCTGAACCTTTATAAAATCTCACCTAAAATCTAATTTATCACCTAGTTGCAGAAATGCAATCTCTGAAACGTGGTATTTCAATTAAATTAATTCAAAAACGAGTCGCAAACGAGTAATATAGAAACACTTTAAAACAAAATGGTTACCTAATCGTTTCATTAATTTGCAACTGAAAATCGTTGCCAATATCGTGTCTACATACAGGACAGACGTCATGATTTTTAAGCCAATTGGTAATGCAAGATAAACAAAACACGTGGCAACATGGTAGCTGAACAGGATCTTGAAGTGACCTTATGCAAATGGCGCATTCATCATCAAATCTAAGATTATGATTTATTAATTTTAAATACAACAGAAACAAACATCTAAAATTGTTGCATATTAGCCTTCATACGGCAATATATAGCGATGTGCACATAGTCTCAATACAAAAAACGAACTTACAAAATATTAATCGTGTAAGATACGATGAAACAGATATTTCTCAAATACATTTATTAATATTCATTAAATTTGGCACAGTTATGCAAATTAAAATTTTAAATTCTTTTGTCTCTAAATAATTTTTCGTACGCATTGAAATTTGACGTACGTCTCTTGCATGCTCCCACAATTTGACTTAAGTGAGAAGGTAAGCGCGCATCCTAGCGTTATCTGAGATTGAAATTTTCATCATAAATAAAAATTTCTTGTAAAAAAATCATTATTAACTAAATGTGGATATGCTTTTTGTCTTGCTTCTTCGTTAGAATACTTACTTCATTTCTTGTTTTTGTAATTCTTCACTGCATTCTTTCAAAATCTTTCAATAACTTCCATTGTGCAAAGTGAAGTAAAGACAGGACTTTCACCCAATACCTGGAAAAAGAAAAGTAATGATGACAACAAGGAGTACAACGAACTCTGTACGATAAATGTACCATGGCTTTTCTAAGAATTTGGGACCATTTAAAATCAATGTTATACAAATTAAAAGGATAAAAACCTCATTGAAAGTATTTTTCTCGAATGTTCAGAGGAGGTTTAAGGGTATCATGGAGACGGGGAGCTATTCTACTTAAAAAAGTCTTTTATTTCTTGTATCGAGAAAAAGATTTAGAAAATTTGATTTTGAAAAGCGTTTTCAAATAAAAGCATGATCAATCGACAAAAGGGCAATAAATTATTTTAATTAAAACTTTACCTTCCACAATTTTAAAGCATTACTACCATCATCAGCATGATTCAAATCCTCAGGTGGACAAGTGTGTTCAATAAACATACGCACAACATCCAAACGTGCGAACATGATGCTATATACAAAATTCGTAAGAAAAGATTGAAATAAGAACAGAATAGAGATTTTAATATAAGGTTAACGTAAGCTAGTCCGTTTTTCCAACTAAAGTTTAAAATTCAAGATGATCAACTTGTATTCTGGTAAATAATGCGCTTAAAAATAAAGTTCAAAAAAATAAAACTGAATCAAAGATTTCTATGAGTGTATGAAAATTTTTTTGATAAAACATGTTATATCTCTTTACTTAACTATTGCTACAATATCACAAACTATCTTCGCACTCAATCTCATTTTCGTATACACGATTTTAAAAACCCAAAAACAACGCATATTTTAGTAAAAAATCAATCCAACACTCACCAGCAACGTTCCAAAATCTGCTTAGATTGTTCTGACAAAAAAGGAACAACATTTTTTGAGTTTTTACTTTCCTTAATTGACAATTTCACATTTTCTTTAATTGGACGTAGACATTGAACTTGATTACACCACGTCTTGCGTTTATGAAGATTCACTAAATTATTTAAACTAGGTGCCAATTGTTCTAGACAGCATTGAAGAGCCACTGCATCTAGGCACTATAATGGTGAGAGAAAGTGTACAGTTATATAAAAGGCTGACAATAACCATACACCCCCGCAAAAGAATTCTAACATGAAAATTAATTTATTATAAAGCCTTTAGCTTTTTACAATGCAACCTCTAAATGATCCCTTGGGCTAATCCCAAGCCAGGACAAACAAAATAAAGACAGTGAAGGAGTACAAGAAGATACACCAAATGGTCAAAATAGAAGTAGAAAAAGCTAAACAAAGAGCATAAAATGATATGTAAGATCAGTTTGATAAGAGGAATGAGGATATGAAGTTGGAAATTGTTTGAAGGACTTAAAGAAAACAGTATAAAGGTATTTAGTCATGACTATGTTTTGTGAAAGTGAGCATATAAAAGAAGTTTATGTCGAGTTTTTGACTTTATTCTAAATTATTAGAAAATGACTAGAAAATGGTGGTAGAAGTGTGTTAGTATCAATCTTAAAGAAATATATTACACAAAGTTAAATCCGCGTCCGAAGGACTATGATAACTGTAGATTATGTTGTGGTAAGCGGGATGGAGCAATTAGAGGCTAAACGTAAAAGATGGAGGCCAGATTCAGAGAGTAAGGCCAGAAAGATTAGTCAATGAAAGGAAGAGATGATGAAACAGTGAGGTTAAAAGAAGGAAAAAGAAAGTAGATAAAAGGGTTGACTTAATTAAGAGTAACAGACGAGCGCAACAGAAAATGTGTAAAAGATATAAAGAAGTGCACCCATGAAAGGTTGGTGGCATGGAAAAAAAGAACAGTGTAGTCATATCATTGATGTCATAGGATTAAAAGACAGTGGCGATAAAGAAAAGACTGGAAGCATAGCTTAAGACGACAAAAACGAATTTCAGAAATCTTCTTCAGGAGAGCAAAAGATAAGTAAAGCCAATGTATGGCAAATGTTAAATTTTTAGACACAAAGTCATAGAGACCAGTTGTTAATGGTTTGATAATGTTACAGAGAAGGAACAATGAGTGTAATGGTACAAGTTTCTATTTCCAGAAATTCAAGATAAAAGAACAAGAGAGAGATATATAGAAATAAAGAGAGAGGCTTTTTACTAAGTGAAGTAAAGTGCTCAATGCTTTTTCCTTCCCTGCACATTCAAACATTCTCATACATTTTTAGTATGTCAACTACATCTTACACTAAAAGTAATTTGTAAGTAGTTTATGTTATGACTTACCACTTCTGGTTGATTAATCTGTAATGAAGGCTCCATAAGTTTTTTCACCACTTGAGGAAACGCATGAACAAGATCAGAGAAATTCCGCATACGCGCTTGAATCGTTGAATAGGCAAAATGAATGAGAGGAATGTCCAGGTGAAATTCATCGTTTTCATGAAACGTTTGGTGTATTTGCCAAGACGTTGCAAGTACAGCCTTGTATATCAACTAGTAATATAAAAAATGGCTGCATCATCGAAGTGTAAAAACAAATTAATGAATTTAATTACTCACTTTAAAAGCAAAATAGAGTGCTTTTTCCTTACCACTATGCTTTGCATATATCATCTGCTTTGTCATATATAAGAACTGTAGGTAATTAGCTATTTAACCTGTAGCTCACTAGAATTTACAGATCTAAACTGTAGCTCACTGGAATTTACAAATTTAACCTGTAGTTCATTAGAATTTACAAATTTAACCTGTAGTTCACTAGAATTTACAAATTTAACCAACCTGCAATTCATTTTTAACAACTGGCTTATACATCATGTGTAAAAAATCGTTTAAATAACAATTCGCTGCTTCCTCCTTGATATCCGGATCTTCAAAAACTGATTTCACTAATCTTCCCAAAGGAGAAGCAGCAAAAACATTTCTTAGTGACGACAATCTCTTTGTGATATCTCCTAAAATGCAATAAAGTATAAAGAAGAACGTATGATGCAAGGAACTACTTTTAGCTACATTTAGCTATTTCAGCCTATTTGTTTTATTTATAGATCCTCCAGTTTGTGATATTTACAAAATAAAACAATTACAAAAATTCGATTGCAACAAGATATTTTTTTGCAAATAATACAAGCTGGATAATCTTTAAATAAAATGAACATAAATATTGAAGCAAAATTATATCATAATTATCATCCATTTACACTATTGCAAGCGCTTCAAAAAATTAGTCTGTTTTGTAACTCAACTCTATATGTAGAAGCGTTTTCTTTCGTAAAGATACATTAAAATAACTAACATAAATATTCATTTAAGATAAAGATGAAATACTAAGAAAGAACTTTCTGTTAAAATGGATCCCTTGAAATATTAAACTGTAGCTAAAAAACGCAAATTTGAAAGAAAGACTTGAGAAAACATTTTTCAAGTTTAAAGAGAATTAATGGAAAATAAAATGCTTTATGTGTTTGTCATTAAGCTAGTGATGCTTGCTTTACCAGATACGCAAATGCGCTTAATCCCTGCCAACCTAATGTCTACAAAATAAAAAACCTTTGAGAAAAAATTTTTTGGAATAAAACCCATTTAAAACTCAAAAGTGAATTGTCCATTTAAAAAAAATATAACATAAAAACAGAAAAAAGCATGCAGCATTGAAAATTTTCCCACTTTTTCTCCATTGATTGTGATCTTTAAATGGCATCAAATAACAAATTTCATAGCAAACCGAATAGCTGGTAAAAAAGGATGTATACTTCTACATATACGCACCACCAACTTCCAACAAAAGATCTTGAACAATCTTTTTAATTATCCACGAGAATGGAAATTTTCCTTCAAAACGATGTCCTGCTCCATCACTCAACACAGTTGCTCGTTCTCTAAGCCTACCGGATACAGGTGAAATGAATGATTCATAGGTCATTGAAGTAATGCTGTCCTCCTTTAACATTTCAAGCCATAACTTTCTTGTCAACGTGTTTTCTTCAAGAAGGAAGTTGAGGTTTTCATTACGATCGCAGTAAGCTATAACTTCTGACAAAATAGGAGAAACAATTGACGATAATTTTCGACATAAAGCTTTTCTAAATGTGCCTGTTTCCTGTAGATGTCCCTGAGACAGTGCTTCCTCTTGAACCCAGAGCTTTTGCTCATATGAACATCTCTCATCGCGCTCAAGCAGCAATTTATGTATCCGTAAAACAAGAATTCTTGATAGCTCTAGGACAATATAAAGTTACGTATTGTTGGTCGTAAATTTCAGTGCCTCAAAAAAAGGAAATTTTCAAATTTTATCAAACCTGTTTCATGTAAGCATTTCTGTAATATCTCAATTCGCTTTGTAGTTCTCACAACTTCATTTGATTCTTCAAAAACTCTAGCAGCTGCAGACTGCAGGTAAATCTTCAACAAGATCGCTAGACGTTTATTTTTTTCATCCGAATTCTCAATTTTTTCCTATTTTGTTAAGGAATAAAAGTTCGTAACATTACTATTTTAACATTCTCAATAAGATTGATGAAGTTTTGTATTCCAAAACCATGCAGAAGTCGCAAGCAGTGGATTTAACTAGTAAATTATTAATTTAAGCTTGTGCATGCCTAAATTGTATCAATGTACACTATATTATCGACCATGCTCAGAAATGCAATATTGAATTTTGTTGAAATGTTATCGTTTCTGTTTGTGCATGTTACCCACTCCTTAAAAATCACTAGGAAAATTTGACAAACCGCAAGTTTCTTTTAATTTTACAGTGAGACATCCAGATAAATGCCTCAAATTAAGCACGAATTAAATGAGTATTCATTTAAGTTTCGCTTACAAATATAAATAGGAAATGTCTTAATTGTCATAAATGACGACGTCATTTGTCAAAATTTTTTAAAAAAATACAACGTTTTCAATGCCATTGCCAAGATTGACTAACCTGTGTGTCACTGTCTTCCTGCGATCCATGATTTAAATTAAAGAGATCACTAACAGATCGATTAACAAGTTGTTCAAGTTGCGGCAATTGTTCATTTGTCTCAAGAAGCTCGTCAATATGGACACATTGCCATTTTCCACCTTGAAACTCCACAAAATGGTGGCAGCCACCAGCAATTTTGGGCAACTGGATAATAAGAATAATGTGAATCGGTTTCGTATGTTCTTCAAACCTTTCGAAAAACGAACGCCGAGTCTGATCAAGGAGATATCGACTACATGCAATAAGATTGGACTTTCTTTCTCTGTCATCACTTTGAACCAATATAAGACCTTCAGCACCTCCAAGTTTGACAAAAAAGTTACTAATAAATGTAGAATGTCTGAGTTAGCAATAACTTATAACATAGTATTATTACAACGAAAACACCAATGAATATTTCTACTTTTGTGAGGAAGCTAGCCTGCAAATTTGTTCATGTTATATAAATTTGAAATCGTTAACACTATTCATTAAATTAGGAATCTAATGTTTTTTACAGTAAGTGGACACCAAAAACAAAGCATGGACAAATTTTTGGGTTGGCTACTCCAATGTTTCTTACACTTTGTAAATTTTTGTCAATATCCTTATAAAATACAGCTGAAATTTGGAAAATATAAGCATTTATAAATTATCTCCAACTCCAAAATCTTTAAAAATATGAACGTAATGTTAATATTAAAAATACACTTCAATAACTTACTCCAAAGTTTTGACAAATTGTTGCTCCGTTTGAAATTCTTGAAGTCGAATACATCGAGATTTCCAGCCTGGGAAACCAGCTTCGGCTGCTATTTTCAAAGCATTTTTTTCCGAAAGGAGTCGCGAGTGTGTTGTTACCTGTAAATATTTCATCAAATAAATTTATTTATATTTTCTTCAATAGAATAACTTATATAACACAAAAGCATAATTTATAACCTGAATTAGAGAACTGCTGGCTGCAGTATCATCATTTATTTGAAAACAATCAATCAAATATCTCTCCAAACTTCCGTGTTGTTGGTTTTTGTAATATTCATCATTGATTTCGCTGGCATTATGTTTTAAGTCTGATGCTGTGAGTCTGGCAATTGCATCAGGAGATGCACATTGTAAAAGAGTTTTCTTTGAGTTTTCAAGTATCTAAACACGAATGTATTATTAGTCATAAACCTGTGATATTCATAAATCAATAATAACAGGAATGGATAAAAAGGGAGTGAACTACAAGGACATAGTCAATGGCTACTAACCCAATCAGCACAAACTGTTTTAATACGAATGATTACGATGACTTTCAATAAAGGGAAATCTGACAGTTTGGCATGTATAGAACTTTTATTTGAAGAATATCGCTACCTCGAACAGTGGTAAAGGAAAAAATCTATGACTTTTAGATGAAACGTCATGCATGCAAAAGAGCGCAATTTCACACGTTTTACTTTAAGTAAACGATTATTTATTATCTCAATGTTAAGAGTAATTAAGAACTTTTGTTTTGTGTAAAAGCATTTTATTAACTTCCTTACTTTACAAAGCATTTTGTATGAACAGAGATGTTTTAAAGTAAACATGTTTCAGCATGCTCAAATGTGTCGTTAAGAAACTTACTTATAACATTTTCTACGATTCAAATTCTTCATTTATTCATAATAATTCTTACCTTAGGATCAGAATAATTATTTTGTAGTTTTTAATCACGACAGTGGCTGCTGTATCGCTGTGATAACCAACAAAACAATCCCCTGGCTCAAATAAACTAAAAAATGACAAATTATATCCTGATTATTACTCATTTACTTCATTTGAATTAAAACGTAACTTTGTAAACAAATGGTACATTGAGATAGAAAGACTTAAGAATATTACTGTGCACACTTGATTTTTGTGCTGATTGGTCGTTTTTAATAGATTTTCTTATATTTAAAGGTTTTTCAACAGTAAAAAACAACCGCCGTTGAAGCATATATTCTTTGAATTGCTTTAGCTAAGCCCTTAACTCAAGTTGGCCACCTTAAAGAATGAAAATTCAAATGTTGAGAAGAAACTTAAATTTTTCAACAATTTGTATTATTGCTCCAGTAAATTACACCCTTTATTCAAATTTTAAATAATATCTATAAGTTAAAACCTCAATTCTCCTAGAATCCCGCCTTAAGGCTGATATCTAAGCACTCATTGAAATGAGAATTTGTCTTACATGCAAAACAAGACCTGAAACATAATTGTATAAAAAAATTAAATTATTGAACAAAATGATAATATATCACGAATGGATTTTAGTGAAATTCAAGAACGTACTCTTACTGAATCTATTTAACTGGAATATTTTTTATCTAGTATACCTTTTTTGTGCTGAATTTTCGAGCTTCACCGTGGAGAAACGTTCCACCCAATCCTTAAGTTCTTTAACTAAAACAGTTTGAGGTTTAGTCAAACCAGTTGACATCACCAGCAAATGTTTCTCAAGACGATTAATAAGAGGAATTGGAAAGCGCTTATAAACGTCATCTTTTTCAGCAATCACTATCAATCTAAAAGATAATATAAACTTAAAAATGAAAAAGCGGAAGAAATTTATATCATTAAGCATGGTATGTCCTATGTTAGTCCTGACTCAAAATATTATCTTTTTTTTATAATCCCACGTTTCAAATAACCTGGTTAACTTAAACTTGAAACACTGTGATGTTTCTTTTGCTTGTTTAATTCTTTTTCAATGCTTTCTGATTGTTCGTTTTGTCTTAAAATAAAAAGCATAATTCGACAAAATCATAGTTTGAAAAAATGTGTGATCCGACATTACGATTATACACAACGCGGTCAATATCATAGTTGGTTTGAAAGCAATAGTGAATGGGTACAAACCATACGGGCTAGCTCCTATTTTCATTCTTTCAGCACTTGTACTTTTTTATATTTTTGTTACTTAGCTACAATCTCTGAGAACATGAAAATTAAACAAAAAGTTTTCGATTACTAATTTCATAAAGTTTTGAGGTTTTTTAAATTAGCTAAATGCCAAAATGCGATGTACAGGCCGAATACAGTAGAATACTGAGAACTGGAATTTTCAAATAAAAAAGAAAATTGCTAGAATAAGTTAGCAATGGTCAATGCCTATAGAGCGAAAATGAAGCTTTTCCAAAGTGACAGTTATATTAAACAGAACTTTTAAAGTGACAGTAGATTATCTAAAGCAGCTTAAGAATGATTCTCTTCATTTTTACGATATTAATGCTTATGCTTTGATTTTAGTAATTTAGTTCGTGCCACTTACTTCTTGAAACGTCGTCATTTGAAACATATAAAAACATATATATATAGTACGAAAGCTTAGCGATGACTAACGAATAGCTACGGAAGCATAGGCTATGAGACAGCAGGCATGACACGGTCTTTGACACGGTCAGAAACTGTGTTTTACCATGAATGGTAGAATTCCGTTTATATCTGACCCGGTCAGCGCGTGAAACGGGCTCAAAACAGTAACTTAACGAATCAGAAGACAAGAATAAGACCTTCTGACATGGTTGCGCAATACTTCTGACACGGTTGCTTAAAATTTTTTGTGCAATTGAAAGGTTTGCTTCGAGTCATGATCGTAAAGTTGTCGTTGTTTACAATAATTATGAATATTATATTAACCGCGGCGGGTTTTTCCCTATTCACCGGAAGATAAAATACAGTATGGGGTGACTTTTCGAAAATATTTGATTCTAAAAGTGATTGGACTAAGAATTTATTCAATATATTTCATTTATAAAAATGAAAGCTATTTAAAATGCTTCTCCTTATTTCACATCATGAATCAGAAATGTGCACTGACAATAGACAAGAAAATGTAATTTTTTGGGAAAAACTAAGAAAATTCAATGAAACAGGAAACACATAGTCTGACAGCTCCCAGAGAAAGATAACACTATATATCTATGTGAGTGCAGGTATATTGTTTGAATATTTGCCACAAATCATTACACACTAAACTTTCAAAAAAAAAGATATTAAAAATGTAAATTAAAAAATATTAATTGCGCTTAGGAATTTTGGAATAACTTACTTAAAATTTTCAGCAACACGGCACTTGACTCTGTGGTTTCCCAGGCCAAGATCGACGTACTTTTGTTGATCAAGATACACGTAATACTAAAAAAAATATTGATGTTATAATATATTGAATTAAAGTTAAAACTTTTCCTCCATAGACTATAAAAACACCAGGAGTCATAAAAGAGAAAGCAAGTATAAAAGTATTAGTCTTTTGTAGTTATACTTGACGTGATTGTATGATGTCCATAATGTCGATGCTTTATTTTTAGGGAAATAAATGTTTTTGTTTTTTTACAGAAAGGCAGCGAGCGGAATTCTTTCTGGTGTATAATTGTAATGTGTTTAGCTGTAGAAGCGGGCGGAATTTTACGATATCTTTCTTATCGCGTTCCATAATCCTATGGGTAAATACATAGACAAAGTTTATTTTGTTCTGTTTCTTTCATTTTACAAATCACAGTATTAGCCAACTTCAATTGTAATCTGTAAGTATTGACTTTTTCATTCAACACATGTGTCACTGCAGGCAATCGAGGGCATCAACAACGTTACGGGATGCAATCCAATACAAAAAGTGCAAATTCAAGTTTTGTGATTGGTTAAAAACCAATGGTCAACTCGACCAGCCCAAGCCCAGGGGTTTTGGGGTTCTGTTTAAACTATGTTTTTTCATCCCAAGTTCCGATTATGGATTCTTTAGACTCCAATTGTCGATTCATTGCTACTTTACTTGTATATTTTTTCTTCTATAACTTCCTCATGCCTGTTATAACATTAATTGGGCTAACCTGGTTTAGAGCATCATAAAGACTTTCATAAAGACTTTCCAAGTTAAGTAAAATCACCATTCTTCCTGTTTCCATGCACACTTTGATACGATTTATATTCCGACAAATCTATAGTTGGTTGAAAAACAAAACTGTGTTTGCAAGTATAGCTTTCTTAAGGCAAAATTTGTTTTTCAAAACGACCCAGAACTAAGATTAATTTTGTATCTGAATGCCTACATCAACAACTAGGCGTTAAAGTACGCGCATTTTCGATATAATTTGCAATGAATATGATTTAAACATAAATTTGATTTGCAAAATTTATATATCTATTCTAAAATTACGTATAAATGACTTCCTTAATTACGGTTTGTTGGCAGGCAGATTAATCCAAAAGGAAGGTTAAGCATTGTTGCTATAAAGTTATCTGAAAGCATTAGGCCAAATCTGCCTGCCAGCGAAACGTAAACAAAGCAAGTCATCCTCAAGATTATTTTAACTCAACATGAAGCGCAATTTTTGTTGAAAATATACCTGTATGTATTGCTGGTCTTTCGGAAAACTGCTGCCAAAAATAACTTCTGGCTCGTGCTCACTTTGAGAATCATTTCCTTGAAGTAATCTCAATGCGGCATAGTTTTCTGTCAAAACTAGTAAATAGCGACTTTCTCTGAAATTCAAAAAACGAAGGATATAATAATTTTTATAGTTACCTAGCTATCCGTTTTGACTAAATGATTAGCTGCCTATTCACAAAGAATTAATGTATATTTTACAAATACCCTTTATTATCTGTTCTTCTCAAGCTATTTTGAATGAGAGTTATGGGAAGACATTGCATCGAAGGACTCTAAACACATTGTAAAAAGAATTGGTATCTTCCTGATGTGCAGGTTAACTGTACAAAACAAATTGTAAATCTTATGTCGTTGTTGATACATATTATTTTCAAGCACAAATTCCTTTCTACTCCCGCAAATTTTGCATGAATTTTGAATTTGAAATCAAAATGTGCACAGGATTGCCCAAGTGGGCTTAGCTTAATATTTAAAGAATGAAATATTAACAATTGAGGAAATACTATAGGTCACTTTTAAATATTGTAAAAATTTGAATACAGCATAAAGGACTAAAAACAAATAAGGAAATATTCAATCTATATTACCTTATTTATTCGTAAGCTTCAGCAAACTTTTTGCAAAATTTTATTAGTCGTACATTACCATTAAATTTTCGAGTTCTCGAAAATGACAGCTAAAGATCTTGACAGGATCAACATCATCCAAGCCACTAAAATTTCTCAGAATGCAGTGCTTTAATTCAGTATGATCGATCTGAACGCCTTCCGTATTAACTATGGCTGATTCATTTACCATCTTTATAAGACTGTTAAAATAGAAGTACATTGAATGTAGTGATTCTTACAAAAGCTAAAATTTAAATTAAAAAACTGGTCGCTAACAGACAGCATAAGCTTAAATTGCAAATAATTTTAAAAATTTGGCACAAAGACTTTAAAATGTATTCACTAAGCTTTGTTTATTTCTTTGGTTTATTGTATATGTTATAATAGATTGCAATTTTTAAATGATAATTGAGACTAAGATTGAAATTTGACGTTATTTAAGGAGCGAAATTTAGTTTGCAATGGCTTATCACTGTATGTAATATATTACAAAAAAGTATATAAGATTTTGGAACAAAAACGTCTTATTCACAGTCAAACTCAGCTTTACCACAATGCACAAGGTCCAAATATTTATGCAAGCCATGAAAATGAATAGAACTGTTTGAAAAATGCTTACTCTAATGTTTTGACCGAAGGTCATTCAGAGTGCAGACGACGCTCGTTTGGGAAGTTATCGATTGTACCAATTGGCAATTGTACTATTGAAGGTGTTTAAAAGCTAACTAAGTAGTGCTTAACTCGGACGGGGTAAACTTTCTGCACAATAACGATTAAACATACAATTTTTATCTATACATTGGAGTCATGAATTCAGGATAGAAAAAATTTTACAGAACCCATTTGAACTTCAAAGTTAAATATATATTTATGTGAACTTTAATTATTTCACACAAAGTTGCACTTATGTATTTTTATACTTTGCAACTGATAAAGACAGCCAGAAAAAGTAATATAGATCTGCAATGAAAATGATGGTTGTGATGCTGCTTTACCAGAGAGCTCTTTTCAATAGATCTCAGAAGAAATTATCCTAAATGTTTTATAGAACACATAGAGTTTGTGCCAATTTTTATAATTGCTGGTCTTTTATGAGCTAAAAAATTTCATAAAATTATTAATGGCAGGAACTGTAGATTAAGATCAATTAAAAGGTTACCGTCATCATCCTTCTCACTTGTGATGTGATATGTATATGTTGTGGTACAAAATCATTAAATACTACTTGTTAAAATGCTATGTTTTCTTGATGTAATCGTTTTTTGTGTACCTTATGGTCTGCAAAGAAATGGCGATTGCATATGAATGAAATAAACTGCCGTCATACATTGAACTTGAATTCAAAAAAATTATGAGAAAACACTTTTATTTAGACAGTATAAATGACGACGTAATCTTTTCAAAATCAAGTACATTTAAGATTTCATATTCGATATTCAGGAGTGACAGATTTTGATATAGTCCTTGTCTATTATGCTCCTCAAATCTTTATGCTTTAAAATTAAAATTTAAAAAAATTTAAATTTTAAATTTTTTTAATATACTGGGTACATCAGTAAAATGAAGGAAAAATGGCTTCGTAAACCCTATGACTAATCACTGATTGCAGATCTATTTTAGTTCAACGGTCAGACGTTATCATATAAGGCGATAAAACATACCGTTATATGCACTTCAAAGCCAACATAATTTTATTTCAGTGAAAGCAATTGAACTGCTTCATACCTATAAAAGTCTCTGAGACCAAAGAATTCATCCTTTTGGGCAATTTTCAACGTTTTTGAATGTTTTTGCATTTTGTACAATTCAAAATATCCTTTGCACAACTTTTTCAAGATTTCTTCAATATCATAATCAACATCATCACATGAGCATATACCTCTAAAGAAAATTTAATCAGAATAGATGTAAAGACAATACAGCAGTAGCTTATATATTTTTAAAGGAATGTTGAGTTAACTTGGAATAATTCAAAATTCCACATAATCGTTTACGCTAGACCATTCCTTAGAAGTTTGAAATGATCATATTTCAACACTCATTTCATGTCTGTTATTCTGAAAGTTAACTATCTTATAAACAACAGACTCCCGAGGAATACACAATACAGTTCATCATTATCTTTGCTACGAACCTTGCGCTATGAAAAAGTTCAACGTCACTTGGTGTTCCTCTACTCAATATTATTCCACGATTCATTTTAGCAGGATCCAACGCCCAGTTAGATAAACCAATAAAACCTACATTGTTATAATCAAGCTCTTTTCCAGAGTCTTCAGAGGTGGCTGTACCGTCTTCAAGTAATGGATGAAGTGTCTTCAGTGGCATCAATGGTGAATCTTCTGCTAAACCAATCTCGTCCAACACAACTACGGAGACAAACTTCTTCACATCTTTGTCTCTCTGAAGTTGGGAACATTGTTTAAAGATGGAGATGATCCCTTCAGGCGTAGATAAAGGGCTGCATTGATATGATTGCATGTGAATCTGAATGTTAACATTTGAAAAAAAGGAAAAAAATCGAATTGAAATAAGCGATAGATAAGATGAATCTGATTCTGAATTTAATTGCATTTGAAGAATGTTTACAGCTTTAGGAAACTGAGATGAAAGTCAAAAAAGGAATTATGTTGCTTGGAGCAAAACTACATCCAATTAGGTATCCTGCTTTAACGGAATCGTCCTTCAATAAAAACTAGACTTTTCGATTCACAAATATTTAAAAGCCACATCTTATATTTAATATTCTACAAAAATGCAAAAAACATGTTTAAACCTGTTTCAGATTCTTAAACAACTCGCTGCTAGAATTTCCAGCTGTCATGTTTGTTGAAATTACGTCTTTTGCCAGAGACTTTGAGCTTCCTGGTTTACCAACTACAAACAATGGGAGTCGTAGTTCTGCACATATCGCCATCATAAATACATTTTCACTAAGAGCTGTATTTCTTGCAATATTTCGGTCAAGTTTCACTTCGTGCAAAAACGCTCTTTGACACCTTTTGAGAAGACATAACTTTGTTGTAGACCAATTTCCAGGAGTAAAATTGTATCGGCTACGTTTGTACAACTTTCGTGTTTTGTCAATATAAGTACATATTCCAATTAAAATTGTGAAAAGGATAACAAAAAAGTCACCAATGTTAATAGCGTAGCTAGCAAAGAATTTCCTTCTGCTATATGCAAATATTTTATATTCAAGGCAAGGCTATCCCACTAGCAAAATTATAATACAAATTAACTTATGATTGTCGTTGAAGACAATACGGTAAAAATTGCATAATATAAATGACTCTTACTTTACTATTTCATCCTTCATCCTTTTAACACCTCCAGGAAGTGGGCATGAATTGTCAAAAAAGGCACAAATGTACTGGCAATACGCATGTCTTTCATTTAGTCGTGCATAGTAACAAACACCAATACCTTGGACGATGGAAAATACAAAACGATTTAAAGGCTAAAGGAAAAGGAATAATGAAGTTAATTGCTGACAACATGACACTTATGATGGCTTACGGAGACAATAATTTATCTTTTAAGCTAAACATGTAAAAATATAATCAGTGATAAGCTCTAACTCTGTGGTGGATTACTATAACTAAGGGACTTGAAGGCTGAAAATATTTGCAGGTGATATCTACATTCGCCCAATAAGATGAGTCTCTTGCCGTCCTAACCCTCCTTTGTTTTTACATTTCCCAGCATGTGTTTTTTTTCCAGCAACCCATAGTTTAAACAATGCCATAGCCCATTGAAACAGTAGACAGTACGAAAGTCATTTTTCATCAATAATTAATCGCTCGTACGGTTTTTAATAGCATAAAAAATCAGGAACATTTATAGTTAATCCGGAATAGCAAAAAGTATAAACTAATTATGCCACTGGCCTCGAGAAAAGGCGAACCTGTAAGCTTAAGCCTAACTAACCTAATGAATAATCAGCTACTGCTCAGAGTAACAAACTATATGCTGCAATAGTTGGAAAATAACATTGTATACATTATGCTTAACTCTTTAATTGGCATTGTGGCAATAATCACGAAAAAAATGAAACTTAGCTAAAAAAAGTAGCCATTCAGAAGGTTGACAAAAGAAATTTTTAAATGGCAGAGCGCCCGTGGCAAAACCAAGTGTCATTGTTTTAGTATATATGTTGAGCTGGAATATTAGTTTCAAACATGCATGTTTTTGTTAAAAAACAAACTGAGATAAACGTTGAATTGTTGAAAAATTCACTTAGTGATAGTTGTAGCTCGTGTATAATTGCATTGATAGTTAAATGATAGCTATTAAAATACGTGACCAACATTTAATTTATACGTTCTTTGTATATATGAAAAGAAAATCTTACCTGAAACTCTTCATCACTTTCCTCTTCGTTGGTGTCACTGGAATCATAAGATACTTTTCGATCACGTAGATGATATTCAGAGTTCTTAATACTATTCTGCATCAAATCATAATTGTTGTAGAACCAGTTGATAACTGTCATTGACCTTTCAACATCACGAAGACTGACAAAACTGCATTCATTCTATAAGCAAAAGGGAAACAAATTTTGTCATGTTTTTAATGATTTGTCGTTTAAGTTCCGTATCAAGAAGCAATACACCTAACCTTTTGCTCACGCATGAATTCTTGGGAGGCTGACAAAATTTTAGCAATACATGAAATTTGAGCATCGGTTCCACATATTTTTCCATTTGATAAAGTAGACGTCTTAAATTGAAAGAAAATGAAATGTTAATGTTGTTCAACGCTCATAACTAGCAATTTGATTGATTGATTGTATTTTTTCTTTAAATACTAATGATCACGTAATGAAACACTTTTGTACTGTGCATGTGTCTCTGAATGTCATTTATTAAGAAAAGAACAGTATTATTTTACCCATTAATAGCTAATTAGTGCATTAACTTACTAAATACTCTTTGATGAATAATTAGGAAGTAGGTGTTGTTTTTAAACAGTTCCTTGCTCGATTGATATTTATAACTAAAAAAGGAACGTTAACATTCAAACTTACTGTTGATTGAACAGTTACACATCGTTCAACTATCTGTTTGGTATAAACTTTTTCTGTGTTATCTGACAGGTGACCAAAATCCCAAATGAGAGGCATCATACTTTCTGGTAAAGGATGGACACGATACACGAGCTGGCGGAGAGGAATGGAGCCTGAAAATCAAAAATATCACACTACAAATAGAACATAAGTGTTTCGATAATTTTTATACTGATAGTGCAATTACGATGAAATTATAAAGAATGTAAATGAAATTAAAAAAATAATTGACTTTATAACTTTATTGTGAAAAACGATTACAGGCTTTTATCAAAGATACTTAAAGAGAAATGTTTTGATACACTCATGTAATGCCATACCTAGTTTATCTTCAGTCTCGTCAGCAGAAACATGGTAACCCAAACCAGCTGATTCCAATTTTTTTATCATCTCATCAGTGTGTCTTAAATAAAGTAATAGTGGTAACTTTATAAATGTCTGTTACATTCCACAGCAAGGATTATTAAAAAACAACAAAAATTTAAAATTAATAACTAACTTCCTGTATGGATTACACGCAGCAATAAAATGAAGACTAGTCAATTTTGGATCGATATATCGTCCATTCACTCGTCGATCAACCATTATCTCTTTGATTAGATCAATTGCATCTGTTGTATTTGCTTCATCAAAGAACAAAATTGTGTCAATATTTTTCTTCTGGTTGTACGAAGCCAATTTTTCAGCCTCAGCGAATTTATTTTCTATTTCCTCGTAGCTTGTTCCACCGTGAACCTATTTAAGCACAATTGAACAATGTTTCGACAAATACTGCACTGCCTGCTTTGAGATGTTTTAACTTACGCATGAATGCAAAATTGTCATGAAAGTTGACAGACTACATAAATTAAAGTTATTCTACTCTTTGGGGCATAAGTAATCATCATGGACAAGACTTTAAAAAACAAAGAATAACAGTTTTTTATAAAACGTTTATAAAAATTTAGGTAATTATATTGTGTTCATAGGACTTTAAGAAAAGCTAACCGGTGAAAAGATCAGTTGCTACATTATAAAGTTTTCAAACCTTCATGAGGATTAGGTTTTTAGGTCCATTAGGTCCAGCCTGAAGCTGGCACATAAACCGTATCAAACTTGTTTTACCACAACCTGTCTCCCCCATGATAATGACAGGAATTCCACATCTATATTTATAGAAAATAAAGGCATGTACTGTGGCTATTTATTTGACGACTTAATTTTAATGTAGCAAATAATTTATATATTTATGGCCTGCATATACTTTATTCATAAGCAATGACTAATAAATTAAAGATATGAGAAAGTGCAATGACGGTTTAAGTTGATGAGGCAAAAAATTACGAACAATCGACAACAGACAGATTCAACTGTTTTGATTAAAAAGTAATTGATTACCGAGCTTGAGCACGTTTCTACTGCTCGATATTTACCTAAATCTCATGTGAATGGCCAAGATTTTCTCCACATTGTCGGTAGTAAGCTCGTACGTTGGATCAGGATCATTAGGATGATCAATTCCCATTACTTGACATAAAGCGTCAATTCGTGCTTCACTAGAAAATAACCATACACCTAACAGAAAGTTCTGTTGCTATGGAAACGAAAGTTATTTATAGTAATTGAAAATAAGCATAAAATTGCTTTTTGCAAAAATATGTTTTATGTGCACACTATGTGCACAAGATGTATCTGATTATTTGTATTTAAATAATAAGAAACCAACCGTCCACTTATTTCGTAGTTTACATCAAAATCCACCCCTTGTATCTTTAGTTGTTCTCTTAACTTTGCGGGCATCAAGCGTTTTTCTAAAATATTTTTACTTCCAGGATCCAGCAAATCTCCGTTATCATTCAACAAGAACCCCAAAAATGTCATACTGTTACGATCATTGTTGAACAAAATATATGGATGAGGACTAAAAACAATTTATAGATTCTTATAGCAATAACAAAATCCTTCAAAATCATTTATTTAATATATAATTTGTGATAGAATACTTTCAATTAAATTGCCTCAAAAGATAGTGCTTGGTGAGTGATAAATAATGTAATTATGATCGACCAGTGCGCAGTGCATTTACAATAATGAGTTGAGGAAAATATACCTTAATTCCCATTTTCGGCGAATTTGGAAGGGCTTTAGATCATCATTCATTTTCTCTTTAATTTCATCAACATTCAAATTGGAATCATTCAATGATCTTGTAGCAAAGTCCTGGAAAAAATATATTGCTATTGCTTAGTGGTTTAGCCTATCAGTAGCGTTTATTTATGCAAATACCAACAAAATGAAAACATCACTGGACTGTGGAAGTCTTTTTGCAATATGATAATTAAATGAATTGGTAATTGAAAAGGAGAATTTGAATTGCGAGAAACAGATTTAACATTCACAGATAAAAATATTCGCTTCCAATACGTTGTCTCTTCTTGAAATTAAAACCAAAGCTACTTAATGCTTGCACTATTTCTGACTCTATATTAAGGAATCATATTTAATTCTGTGAAGTTAAGACATCTTCACAAGCTAGCCATGAGTTTAACTCATTTAAATGTGTATGTTAAAATATGAACCTTACCCTTGACATTTTGATCATAAAACGAACAACAAATGTCTTAAAGCCTTTCAATCTATCTTCAACTAAACTATTGTCACAAAATACACTTTTTTCACAATCATCCAATTGAACATTCAAAAAGTTTGCAAAGTGATGAAGTTCAGCCCATGATGGATCATGTATTCCACAATATCTGAAAAAAGTGAAATACATAACAGCATCCAGAAAGGTAAATCAGCGAGAAAAATAACAAAAAAGCGTAAGAAAATTAAAATTGAGATGCGTCGAAGATACAACTTATGGTTGAATAAATTCAACAATTTAATAAATTTTTGATATTTATGCATTAAAACTTGCTATCGCTAATTTCCAAATTATATGCAAAATTTATACACGTGGAAAAGAGAAATTGACCAAGCAGAGAAAGAAAATGGTTTCATTTATAAGTTGGTCCATATAAAATATTTATAGCTAACATTTTCTTAGTGAATTAATTATATTTGGCCAGATGAAATTACATTGAATAAGTACAAGCTTAAAATATACAAGGTGCATTGAAGACCTTATTTTAAGCTGAAATAAAGTGTTAACATTTACTTACTGGATTAAAACAGTTAGAGATTCAACGGGATCGCTTACATCAGCACAAGAATCGTTTTCGTACGAAAAATTGTCCAAGTTATCACCTTTCTTGATACGCAATAAATATTGGAATGCTCGTTGATATTCTTCACTATTGAATTCCTCTTTGTCGAAACTTGTATCTCCTAAACATTTTTCAAACATTTTTTAGTGAAGGAGAGACAAAAAAGTACATCTCTAAAAGTCTTGAATAAACAATTATGTAGCTTTTGTAATCATAAAATCTGTTAGTATGATTCAATTAATATAAATAATTTTCAAGAAAATCAATCAAAAAATGTCTTAATTTTTTTAATCTTGTAGGCTATGTTGTCTTTAATATTTTATCAACAAAACTATTTTTTTTCCTATGATTTGATACGCCTGTTCATTTAACAAAGTAATGTACGTGTAACATTATTTATTCTTACCAAGCCTTTGCAACTTCATATTTCTTAATGCTTCCCTTGGTGAAAGACAATGGATGCTTGGTAAAAACTTTATAAACGAATACTTTCCCCTTGATGGTCGATTTCGTGTGTTCTAAGAATACAAGTGAGTTTAAGAGCAATAGCTGAATGATTGTAACTAAGCTCATTGTATATGTTTCAATAACTAAGTTAAATTTATAAAAATTAAATCAATGATAACGACATGGTTGGGACACGACTAAAACATCAAGTAAAACATTTAAGCTTCACAAATCAGGAGAAGGCTGTATCTTTGCATTCATGCGTTCTGATTGATTGCAGCAGTAGCAAAATTTTACCATGTCTGACGACAATCGGGTTATTTAGTTATTTCTGTTGTGTTTAATTTAGTTTTCTTTTTTTTCGCTTTGTTTTGCTCTGTTTTAATTTGCTTGCTTTGCTTTGTTTTGAACTGCTTTGTTTTGTTTTACAAAGTAGATTGGATGTCAATTTAATATAGTTAAGTTTGGAAATATTTTGTCCTAAAATCAAACGATTAAAAAAAGTTTTGATTGCTTTCTTTTTCCTATTTGTTCAATCGCATTACATAGCAGTGGCGTAGCGTACCCGAAAGATTCTCCATGCTATGTAAATTTTTTTGATGTTAATTCACTTTCAAACAATAGATTTCTATTGAAATAAATAATGCTAAGGATGAATAATTTACATAACAAGAGCAAATTTGCAGGCTGGCTACGGGACTGCTACACAGTCCAGTAACAGGAAAAACAAATGTGCTAAATAGCATCAGTTGTTGTTACCCATCTCTTTCTCATTGGGTGCGCTTCAATAATAGCAAAAAATTACAACTTACACTGATACATATACAAAAATGCTTTTTAAAAAATAATTTTAAGTAAAAATTCAAAATGTTTACCGGATTTTGACTTGTAGGTAAATTTTCAGATGTTAGCATTGCAAATGTCTTGTCAGTTGTGTGTTCAACAATATACAAATCGGTTGTTTTTCTTCGCCAAATATTTCCATTGTTATCTTTGACAGATCCAAGGATCAACAGTTTAAACAGAAAGTCATCAAGCCCTTTTGATACCTTGACAAAAAGCACTGGTTAATCTTTTTGCCTGATTTAATTTTATCATTTCTATTACATTTTCGAGAGAAACATAACGATAGAAGTCCTATTTTCAATTTCAAAAGTACTTTTTACGTCTTTTAGAAAATCACATAATCCCCTAATGCATTTTAATGACTGGGCGACTCTTACCGACTGAGAAACATCCAGATGAAAAATTCTTGAAAGAGAATCACCTCTTTTTAACGTATGTGAAAGAAGGTGACGAGTGATCGCATTACTATCAACACACACTCCATGGACTGGGATAGTACAGCACAAAGTTGATTGAAAATTTTTCTTTTTTGTGTTTGAAATTGTTTCTAATCGTTTAGTAAGACGTTTCACAATTAAACTTTTCCCCATTCCTGCTCTAGAAGACTTGATTAAACGCACAGATAATCTAAAGAGACATTTAATTGACATTTACTTTCCGATAAGTTTTGCAAAACCAGACAAAATGTTGAATAAATAAGTCATTAAAATTGACTTGAACGATATGTAGTAGAATTCTATATTTTGTAGAATGCAAAGAGGTCTTTAGAATTAAAGACATTAAAATAATACATACTTTTCTTGATCTACAATAGCTGCTGCAGTGCAAACATTGTCATCATCAGGAGGTTGATATACAAATTTTTCTTTCAGATATCTTTGGATACAATCCAATGACGTTAGTGGAGGAAGTGAGCGTCGATAATGATCTAATGATTTCACTATGTTTGATTTGTCGTTTTCAATGCTACATACCACCACCAAACGATATTCTTAGAAAAAAAGAAATAAATGCAATGCTTGAGCTCCAAACAAAACAGTTTATAAGACAGCATATTAAACTTTTGATTACATTTTCTTCTATAAAATTAAACACGTTGTTTTCAGCATATGCAATTTGACTGATCATCTGTTCAATAAATGGTTACGCATGCATAAGGTTATAAATCCCGTTGCACGTGTCAATAAAATTTCCTTGAACAGGTTTGCCTAGCCTGCCTTCATGAACATCATAGATTTAAGAAAGAGTATAAAAAGATGTTATGATTTGAAAAGCTTATTGTTGACAAACTTTATATTGCATTATGCATGACATGGTGTAAAACAGTTAGTTATGACGGAAAACCACTCTTATAAAATTTGACTTTATTTTTCCATATCTGACAAGAGACTCGTTATTCCTAAAGATTTTTAGATAAGCAAATATTATAGTAAAGACAAATGCCTATGAACATTGCTCAAACTTACTTGGGTGTCCTTGTGTTAACAATTCAAGTAAACGTAATGCTTCCTGACTGACGTCAAAGTCCAAAAGATCTGCATTAACAAGACAAAACAATCGACCAGTATCGTCAACGACAGCTCGTCGCCAAAGTAGCTCAACCTATACAAAAAACATTTAATTTGAAGCTCTAATTTTTTAAACATTTTTAAGCTAAAATAAACACACGTTTAACACCATCCTGTGTTGATATACGTCGAATGTTGACCAGAATTCTTATATATATATCTTAAACATTTATCGCTATAGCATTTATTCCTTAGAAAACAAACTTAAACAAAAAGTACAGGGAAAAGTCTGATTTCAGAAGAGTGTGTTACAAGGGAAGGATCTGGAGTTATTCAAAATACTCTTCAACAGCTTAGTCATGGATTTATTACATTTTTTATTAGTTGACAAGCAATTAAATTGGGAAAATTTTATTCTTCTAAAATTCATTACCATGCAGCAGCATTGTTATGCAAGGTTTTGAATTTATCATTGAGCGATAAATTTTTTGACAGACGTTTGAATCCACCAAACTGTGTTGCTGTAAGAGTTTCACTTTTAAAGAGTCCAGAAATTTACGCTGTTTATAGAAATTTGACGAATGCAAAGTAAAACTACAATAAAATCGTACCTCTTCTGATGTCGTGCTCTGGTCACAAACAACCACCTCTTCGACGCTTGGTAACATTTCATTTTCACATCCCATGAAAAGAGACAACACGCAACCAAAAACTTCACCTGCATGGTTTAAAAATATTCAATTGTAGATAATCCTTCAAACTCTTTTTGTTGCAAGAAAAGTAAAATGTTCCCAACAATAAAAATTACATATATTTTTTTACTTAGATATGTCATTAAGAAAAATGCTGTTGCGATCAAGACAATAAGAAAATACCTTTCGAGACAAGCAATAGATTTGGTTCTCCTTCTTTGAAAACTGGTGGAAAATTGCGATCTACTCGACTACATTCTGTATAAATATTCAAATTATTAATAAAGAGAAAACAAATCTTTGCACACATATTTCAACATAAGAATTATAATTATTTGTCAAAGAGAAAGTTGCCTCATTAACAATTTCATCAGTTTTTACGATTAAATGCGAACATGCTTTAAGATTTCTTCGACAAAATCACTTTTTGCGAAAGGAGAAAATTCTCCTTTGTCTGAAAACGCTACAGTACACTGAAAACGATAAAGACATGAAATGAAATCAATGTAGCAATAGACTAAAAAAGACTGTCTTTGTACTGTTGACCAAAAGACACTTAATTCGTACATATCTAGTAGAAATGTGTTATAAAATGTAATGCGTTTGTTTGAATAACATACATTTAGTAAAACAAGTACGTCATCTGTCTTAAAAAATTGATTTTCTTGAACATTGATGCAATGAAATTGCAGTAAACTCATGATAAAGATGATGGTATTCTACTTTTCAACGGAACATGATAATTTAAAACAACCTAAGACTAGATAAATGGCAAACACTGGTGTCACATTTTTCTTACTCAAGATAAAAATGAATTACTAAACCTAGTTTTATTTGGATTAATGTAATTTGCCTTTAAGAATATTAATATCCAAATGATAAGTGCTGGTGCTCTGGCATAATGAAATCTTTCCCCTTGCTTCATTTAGTTATAACTAAATGATTGGTTTTTGTTTTAGATGTACACCAATTGACTCGCGTAGTTCTTTAAGTGAACAGTTTTCGAGTTATTAATTGCTTTGTCTGTTATCTTAGTTTTTTGTATTTCCGTGTCCTAATATAAAACTTACTACTCTTATGGAAAATTATACCTTTTTCAGAAATCTTTTCCAATACAGCAGTTAAAATTTCCAAAGACAAATATTTGCTGTCCTTTTTATCTTCTTCACCAATTTTTCTAAATTAGTCAACAAACACTTTTCAAACTTTAGCGTACAACATAACTTAACTGTTAGTCTTTTGAATGTCTCAAAAGTCTAAAGACAAAGATCAAAATAACGTTCAGAATATTTTTGTGTTTATTTCTAAAAAAAAATTTCAATAAATTTCAAACAGTAAAAAAACTAGATATTTTGATTGCAAACAACGAACAACAGGTACATTACCAAATAGGAGTTTTAGAACAGTTTCTCATTTTTACGAACTTATCCTTTTCTACGAAGTGAATATTACACTGTGAAATGAAACTGACCGCCTTTAATTATAAGCTGTCCGTTTTTTATTATTGTGTATTTGACAGAAACGTTTCAACCCTTACATTCTCATGGCTTATATAAATATGAGCTTTACCTAGATTGTGGAGAGGTTTGCAATAAAATATAATCATTTTTTGTTTCAGAATCTGTGCCAAATATTTTGGTTATAAGATCAGAAAGACGAGGATTTTGCTTTGCTTCTTGCGATAAAGCCAAGATGCTTTCTTCGTCATCATTACAGTTAAATACCCACGCAAGAAGATCAGCCTTTGTTGCTTCACGCCCACAAACTTGTAGAGCAGCCAGTATATACCCTTCATCATAGCCCTGGGACTCTAAACTATCTTTAACAGAAGTAAGCACTTCAAACGAATTTTGTTTTTGTATATGTGCATGTGATGTTGTATCATTTTCACCATCCGTATCATCGTCACTGTTCTCATCACTGTCAAAAGGTTCATCCACATTTTTTAAATCTTCTTCCTCTTTTAAATAGACAAAACTCTCTGGAATCACTGATTTAAGTACATTTGCAAGTATTGTTGGATTTATGTATTTCCTGACTGTTTCAAGAAGCACAAATATTTGAGATGGAAGTTCATTGACTGCAGTTTCACCTTCACAAGCTTTGAAAAGTTCTTTCCGCAAAGTTAAAATCTGCTTCATTGTAAAATGATTTAAGGCGTAACATTGCTGTCTCTTCGTACTCATGGTTTCTCTCCATTGTTTTAAATCACTTTCCATCTTGCTACAACGTATATTAATATCAGAGAGAAGATCTTTTCGTTTTTGTTCTTGCTTACTACAGCAAAAACTAGATTCCCAGCTAAGATAAGTGATTTCTCCGACTTCGCAAAGTTCCAAGTAAAGATCATTAAGTCTCAGAATTTTTTCAAACACCTGCATCAGAAATACATTAAAAGAAGCATGAACTAAAGCAAGTCTTGTTCTGCATACGCAGGTAGACAAAACAAGCACTCCCTACCCCCCAAGTAAAATCATCGCGATACGCTCATAGCACGTCCTTCTTTGAGAAATGGAATAAAATGAAGACTTGTTTTTAAGGAATAACTGATTAAATTAGCAATATTAACAATCGTCAAGTAGAACTTTGATCTCACAGTTAAAAGAAAAACAAAATTTAAGCAATGAACAGGCATGCTGCAATGGTCATGCATGCAATGCAATTACCAGCAAGGTTCTTAAAGGCTATTAAAGGTTCTTAAAGGCTATTAATCGTTATTATTAAGGTTCTTAAGGTTCTAAAGGCTTGAAGGTTCTTAAGGCTTAAAGGTTGTTAAGGCTTAAAGGATTCTTAAAGGCTATTAATCGTTATTATAACATTAATCTTTAAACAAAGGGGCTGAGTTGCTGAGATTCATCTATTTATGTGATTGAAGAATTGATCAAAACCTAAAATGCTTTAAAGACAAAACAGGCAGTGAAAACGAATGCGCTCATGTCATTTTTAAGAAATATTGCATTTTGTGAAGAGGAAATTCGTTAACAAGAACGGCCACGATGCTTTGGAATAAATATATATTCTAAATAAATACGGCAGAGCAAATAACCTCATTAAATTGGTCGACTTCTTCCTTTCCATTTTCTGCTTTTCCTGCAATCAGCATCAACTTGCTTTGAATATCCTTAATTTCGTCGAATGTGTATATCTTTTCCTCTCGATCACTATCTTTTGGAATAACAAGAGCCACGACGTTGTCAGGGGTACTACTACTTTTTGTTACCATATTTAATTTTTCTTTGTCAGCAATGTAGTAAATACCAGATGAATTTATAGTTTGTACTAGGAGCATTGTTGTCGATGCAACTGAGCCATGTGACTCTTTGATTTGCTTCAGCCAAGAAAGATTTTTTCGGGTTATTTCCTTAAAGGTGAAAAATAAATGTCATTTAGAAGTATGAATTAATAAGTACCACATGTCATGCAAGAGCAAAGAAAAATTTTTCCAATAATGTATTCTATTATTTGCGAAATCGGTAACATTAACGTACTTACCAGAAATTACACAACTTCAAAATTATTTTTTTAGACATAGCGCATAAAAGTTAATTCGTTTCAAAACCCTCTAAATGCTTTGGTTTTCAAAGTTATATGGTCATAATAGGCATTTCCGAAATTTCAACTCGGTTTACATATTGTCTAATGAGTCCAAGAATGTCGCAGTAAAAATTACAGTAATCCTTTCCAGAAACGATATTTTTTAGATATTTTAATCTGCTATAGATACCATGCAAATGAAACAAACGACAGCACTTACTAGCTTTTTGTCAATGGTTGGATTGGCATCAATCACTTGCCAGAGAGTCTTGCAAAGTTCCATCAGTTCACGAAAACCATGCTCTTCACTGTAGCCAAATATCAAAGAGCCAAATCCCAAACAGCTCGTATGCATGCAAGAAATATTGTCAATTTCTAAATCGCTTTCACCGGCAGATATCATGGCCAGGTCAATAAATACCTTTAACTCTTTTTCATCTAAATCATAGTACAAATAACTTTGGAGTTTTTAATTGTCTTGTGGCGCAATACTCAAAACAGTAAAATGATCCAATTTCAAGTGATCTCAAGTCAATTACAAGAAAAGAAAAACTTGTGTACCTTTTATACATTTTCTTATCCAATGAACCAGTTCGACACTTTCGGCAAACACTTTTAAACAACTTTTCCTATGACTATTGACTTCTGTTAAACAAGTCTCTAGATTTAGCAGATCGTCATTCATATCTTTGATACACATATCCATGGATGTAATCTAAATAAACAACGCAAGTGTGTCGTGTACATGCATTGTTCTGTGATTGAGAGATAGGATTAGGGTTAGGGTTAGGGTTAGGATTAGGGTTAGGGTTAAAGTTGGACTGCGCCAAACTGCGTATAATCTGGTGGCATTGTGAGTAATTCTGTCTTACTTATTAGTGCATCCATTAGATTTATAAGCATTAAAAATAGACTTCACGAGTGAATACAAGGTCTAAAAATTGTATTTATTCAAATAGGAGAAAAAACCATATATTAGATTTGACTATCCTTCAATGGGACTAATTCGTCTACTCTCAAAATATTTTCATAAAGAGTAAAATGTTTATTTCAGACTACGTTGTGGCTTGTGGCAGTTAAAAACAATTCACGTGTGATTCTTAAAAGCAGAGGCTTTTTGATAATTCTAAAGAAAGTCTTTCATCGTAGTGATTGCCCTTCCATAGCTTCACATGCATACCATGGCATCGTGTGTTTTCAGATTTTTTAATACATAGTTAAGCTAAAGATACAAGGTGTCCCAAAAAGGAACCTCAATTGAAATCCTTTCACAGGACACCCTGCACTACGCTAAAAAGGAATGTCCTAAATAAATTAACATTCAAACGTTTTTGACACTTCAGACATCTACAACCTCTTATTGTCAAATATTGAATTTTAAAGCACGAAGAAAATAAAAAGTCCTAAGATTAGTTGATAATCAAACGAAAACCACAACATTAGTTCTCATAAGTTCTTGTATTTTGCAAATTTTGAACTAAAGGAAATCTTATGGAGAATGCTTTTGTAGCTTATCTAGCAAAGATCTTCTGAAACAATTACTGTAAAAGAAATTGGTTTTAATGTACTATAATTTATATTTTTTCCCATCTAAGATCTTAAAAAATTAGGTTTTTTGTGATCCACCGTTCACTGGTGATTATATTATACAGTACATTTAATATCTCGCATACCTTTGGAATATTTTTCACCTCAGAAAAATCTCCTTTTAACCCATATTCGTCACGTAAATTCAATATCACCATAGCAGACTCTTCTGCTTCCAAAAGTTCTTTGTATTTCTTCAGTTTATTCAATGTCTTTCTTAGATTTTCGTCAACATCATTCTTTTCGGGATAAGCAAAGTGATTTGAAAGCATTCGAAACTCTTCTTCCAAGGATTTGTAGCACATTTCAAACGAATTTAAAAACTCGTCAGTTTTTTTCAGTTTCATCTCACCATTGAAAAAATCTTTATTCACCGTCTCGAGTGTCTCTTCAATTTCACAAACTTTTTTCTCGATCATCTTAATACTGACGACCTGTTCGTCATTCTTGACTTTCTCACCGTAATTCTTCCACAATAACTTAAAAATTCTACTTTTTTCTATCTGACAAATTTTGGATATCTTAAGTAGAATACTTGTGCTCATTTCAAAAAAACAAAAATCTAACTCACTGTTTTTGTTTTTTTTGACAATTTCACATAAGCGTAGTTTATGATAATCCTGTTCAACCTTTTTTTGTAGGATTGAAAACTCTTGATCAACTAAAAAAAAACAATTTAAAAATGTATAAACGTTAATAACCAACCAGTTCTCCTGATCATCAATATATATATATATATATACATAAAAGATAAAAAGTTTCTCCGGATTTTAAATGATTTTTATTGTGCTTTTTATTTTTATTGAACTTTTTATCTTTTATGTATTCAATGCCTGGATTACAAATTTTCAAACTTATATATATATATATATATAAATATCATTTTCTCAGATAAAGAAAATTAAAGATAAAATTAGTAATTATAATGTGCACATATTAAATGTTTTATAAACAACAGAATAAATTTGCATAAATAAACATTGTAATGCAATTAATTTTAGTCTTTCATAATTATCTAAAAATAGAACAGTTTATATGTGTGTGACATTAAATTATTTTAATTTTTCCAGGTCACCGTCATCTTACCTGCAGTGAAATGTTTAGTTAGTTTATTAAAATGCACGAGCAGTTCACGTAAATTTTCGAATTCACTCAGTTCTGATACTCTTTCCTCCAAACAGAACTCAGGAGTTGGACTCCCTTTTTTAATTTCTTCATAAGATTCGGTCAGCTTCAAATACTGGGCTTTATTTTCTACCAACAATTCAAGCACTTGAACTGTTACAGTACCATCACGTACAGAGCTTACTACACTAAGAAGATACGATTGTGCACAAGCAATCAAGTTTCCACAATCACCAGTCTTAATCAACTTCTCTTTACTTTCAGAATTACTACCTAAAACAAACAAAAAGTGAACTTTAAAGCAGACATTCAATATTAATATAACTATCATCATTAAATAAATAAGTCGTTAGGGTTAGGGTTAAGGTTAGATGAACTGTTTCACCTTCAGATTTATGCTATGTTAACGGGAACTACAAAAAAAATTTCAAACCGTAAAATGCAGACTTGGGTATTAGCTATAAGTTTTTGAGGATGAAACTTTAGTCTGTCAAATCACAAAAATGAGATTGAAAAAACTAAAAAGAGCAAATTTTTCTATAAAACTTTAAATTATTGAAATTACATGCTGAAGACATTACAATTAGTCGCGAAACTAAATTATAATGACTCAGTGCACTCTTACCGATGAATTTGAGAAAACCAGGCCATACGGACCATGTAAGAAGGTGATCTAGCAAAATTCTGTCCTCCCTATCTGAACTCAAAGAAATTTCTTGTTCTTTCAGTTGGTCAGGCCAAGCTTTATAAAGCAGAACACTTAGCAACTCCATTGCGCTTGTTGAATTTTCCTGGCGAAAATATTCAAAAGCTTCCCCACTGTGACTTGACTAAAAATGAGACAATAATAATATCATTTAACTGACTGAGATAAAATATTTGGTGCTATAAAATAACTTCCAAGATACTGTATAATTTGAACAGTGATATTTAAAAGGCAAAGTACGCCTTACCAAGAGATCTAGTTAGATTATTATGATCACAACACACAAGTATCAAAATTTACTACCAGTAAATGAAAGAGCAAGACCTGAAATTTGAATTACTATTTTTCAACAAGCGTTTTTGAACTTGATTATTACCTCATTCAATTTTTAAAATTTTGCAGTGTATACGCATGGCTAAATTTCAGGTGCACCCACTGTGTTTTTTTGGCAAGGTTGTTGATTCGAAAGTAATGCGATAATTCTCGTAATTTTTATTAATTTGTACTTTGATAAAATCAAACGATTAACCATATAATCATCAGCTAAAACATGCACATCTAGATTAATGAAAAGTATCTTTCAAGTTGTAACAATTAAAAAAACGTTTACAATTCGCCAATAATTCAATAATAAAAACTTAAAAGAATTTAGAAACTAGCTACACATTTAAATTAATCTTTTGAAGTTTGAACTTACATTAACAACCTTCTCAACAGCGTCGAATGCAGCCTCAGATAAACATGTAGAAAGTTCAGCGCAAAATTTTGTCTTCTCTGACAGAAAAAGTAGCTGTATTTGACGTAGAGGTGTCACCTATATGAAAGTATTCCACAAATTATTTAAATATCGAATACTGAGTTTAGGGCTGGAGTGAAAAACACTATTACTGACTTTTATAATTTCTTTTGTTTGTTTATGTCGTAAAGAGTACATTATTACTATAAAAGATTTTTTGCTATTTTATTTTGTGTTATGACTTTATTGTAGTGATGTAGCCATGAGGATTCTCGTACATTCTGCCGTATTGCATTCCTTTAAAATCAATTGTTTCTTAATGATTATACCATGTATGCACATTACCCTAACAAAAATTTCACATTTAATTTCATGTATATCACAGGCATATTTCACGTATGAAATAGAAATTTTCAAATATGAAAGAAAACATTTCACATATGAAATTCAACAACAATTTGTGCATGTGGGGAGCAAATAATAGACGTAAGGAATTAGCCACTTGCGCTTTCCTATTTTGGAAACAATAAATTAAGTACCATTCCACTACCTATAGCCACGCTTAATTGTTTCACACGTATAAGAGAGGAAAATAATGTATTGTAGAGGTTTAAACCAAAAAAAATACAGTAAAAAGGAGTTATTTACCACGCAAATAGTAGTTGTATTGCTTCCGGGGTAAAATTTTTCATTCGTATCATGCCTTAGGTGATTTTAGTGGTATTTCATGTAACGCAAATGGTTTTTCAGGAAAATGTTGATACACTTTGTATAACTCCAATCACGCATCCATGCACATGGCATGTTGTAGTGATATATAGATCAAAGTTAGACATTAAAGATCAACCACCCCCTCCACAATTCACACGTCATAAAACATTTATATTTTCTTATGAACAGTTGCAGGACTTATCAGTGACGTGCATTTGGAGAAGGCGTGTTCAACCTCCACATTCTCTGTGAAAATAATTATCAATGTATTCTAACGTTAAATTCAACTCCTTAAAATTGTAAAAATTAAATAAATTATAATTTGGCATGCGATTTCCCAAACTGTGAGTGGTTTGTTCTTTATACGCACAAAAAAAAGAAGCTCAACATGATTTGTGGATCGACAGAGTAATGGGTTGATTTTAATTCGTTGTTAATGGCGAAGAAAGCGATAAATACTAAACCATGAATTCAAATATATGTACAAATGACATGCATGCTACAAACACAATATCTTATTTTCAAAACTGCAAGACAATAAAATAACTTACCTGCCAGCCAGAATTTATGAAAATAATTAATTTACAAAATTCAAGTTTCACTTTAAACATTCTGGCCAAATTATGTAATGAGTTGTCAAATAATTGACTTTAGTTTTAAATACGTTAATAAAATATAGTAATTTGGATGAGATTGTACGTTCAGATAGTTATGATACTGGTCAGGGCAATTCACTGGGCTGTTAAAACTTTGATTTTGTGAAATATTTTTTAACACTCGCTTCCAACTGAATCCAGATTTTTATTATTGCTTATACCAATGATGACCAGTGTAAACAACCACAATACTGAAAAATAATGTTTTCCATTAAAAATAATGCTCCAGGTTTCGTGAAATAGACAGACACATTAAAATAAGGAAAATCTACGGTAAATTAACGTATATTTTGTCAAATAAAGTTTTAGATATATTAGAAATAAACTGCAAACGGCAAACGATATTCTTTAGTAGACTGTCTGTCATCAAGTTTTTACATAATCTCATAAAACTAGTTACTTGTGTTTTTGAATGATTTTAAACAGTTTGGTGCAATTTTCATTCTTGGATAGATGGCTAAATCTGAGTTAAAATGCCCAAAAGGGAGGGAAAAAATATTCTTTAGTTTATCCTTTACATTAAAATTTTCTTCAAAAAGAGAGCAATTAAGACAAACGTTTTCTTTCGCATTGAAATAATTTAAAAAGAAGTGAATAATGAGAGTAGTTTTTGAAGCAAGATTCTTCTACATCTACATAGTAGTTACCTTTTTAACTCGATCAATCAATTTAGCCTTAAATTCCTCACGCCACGAATTTTGAAAGAGATCTGGAGCAGAAAATGACAGTAGTACATTCCATACCTAAAAAGCGATAGCTAAAAAGTTGCGATACACCAGCCAAAAGGTAATTAAAATTAGCTAATAAACGGTATATAAGATAAAAACTGAATAATTGTCATTAAAAAAATGACTTCCAGACATACTATATATACATATGCAAAACAAACAGTTTCTGCAATTTTGTCATCTGCGTGAAAGTAATACAGTTATCTTGAAAATCACTTACATCCAATTCCTTTAGCCATTCAGATTCTTTACAATCTTCTAGGTTAATACACAGAGACGAGTAAAATAACGTCTTTGTTAATACAAATATGTCTTGGAAAAAGTGCCACATGTCCTGTACATCTGATTTAGAATATGATGTGCTCTTCGAATCACGGTCTCCGTCGTTTGTTTCCATGATTATGCCTCTCTTCTCAAGATCAATGGCATTGGCGATACACTTTGCCAAGCAACAAAAGAAAGTTATTTGAGTCATAAAAAGGCGGGATTTTACATTCTTTGCAATCTGCACCAACGTAAGAAGCAAAGCTTTTGTTTCTTCATTTTTGCTTTTTGGACATAGGGTGGGACTGAAAAGAAGATTGTATGAGAAACATCTTTCTCTGTTTCACTATGCATTAAAGATGAAAGAACAGCGGCTGATCAAAATCACATTGCAAAAACTTGCTAATGAACACGTCGAAAGGTGCAGTTACTAGCTGCATGTTGGTAAAAAATTTGACCGTATACGTAAATCATTGAAAAATCTTAGAAAATGTCTTCAAATTTAAAGTCTGGTAACTCTTAGTCATATTTGTAAACACTGCCACAAATAGTCGGATATGTTATGCAATTTATTTGTTGCAATCATGTAGGTGGTTTGCATGTTGCATCACGCCCGCCAGGTTAGTTGAATTTGACTTGACAAAGGATTCTTTTTGGCCTTTGACTTATTGGGAAATAACCGCAAGCCACCTGCCCATTAACACTGAATTTTTTCAAACAAATGCGTTTGCTGATGTATGGAATTCTGATTAAAGATTTTTACTTTCAATTATTTTGAAACATCATTTTGCACAATGCTTTACTTTTTCTGATTCCACTGGCGTCAATTTATTGTTTGTTGAAGGGTACCATATTCAATTACACATATGTTATGTTTTGCTATGGCTGTGTGATTTCTTTTGAAAGTGACATTATTTTCAAAGGAAGCATATATAGGCATGGTGGAATATATAAATATGGTTATCCTGAATTAATGTTGGATTGACTAGGCATTTTCAATGTAGGTTTTTTGAAATTCTTCTGTAGACAGTACTTCATTTCTCAATGGTGATCCAAAGGCAATTCTATTTGCATAGTAAACGTACCGATAATTACTGATTGCTGACAAAACATCGATGAAAATTATCTTAACGGAGTTTTTTTCATTTTGTGGGAAAATGCTCAAAATTCTTTCAAATTTTTTGCTATTCTATAACAACCACCTTTTGTATAAAGACCAATTTCAAGGCTACACCTGGCTATTTTTAAGCAACTAGAGGTAGGAAAATACTTTTACTGAGAAAAATTACGAGTTGAGTAGACTTACCATTCAGTAACTATGAGGATAAGTGCATGAGCTTTTTAAATACAGGGGTTGGTTTTATTTTAACAGTTCAGCTCATCACAAGCAAAGGTTTTAAGCACAATAAAATTTACTTGTGTAAATATATTCTAAACATTTAGTTATTACCTGAAACGAGAAATTACTTCACTCATTTCTTCAAAGAAATCGACAAGATGCTTAATCTACAGTAAAAAAGTCAATAATTTCTAAATGAGTAAAATGTGCAGCGGCGATTTTGCTTATTGTTACAGGCTCTCTTTGTTTAAATAGCAATCTAAGATTTAACTATAATACAAAAAGCATTTTAAATTAGTACCAAATGGTTGTTTTAAAAGGACTTGAAACATATCAAAGATTAAACCAAACATTTCACATTGATATAAATGTGAAAAATTGATGAGCGATTGAGGGCATGCAGCTATAATATTCACTAATTTGCACATCATTTTTACTTCTGCAATCCAAACAACTGAATGAAAAGTGGTACGTTGCTCTTTTTAGCTTAGTTTCAATTTGCATTTTGCTGAGGTTTTTTGCTAACACGCAAGATTTCCCGGTAGTTTATTGATATAGTATTGTTTGTTAATGCCTCTACAACTTCTTTTGAGTGATTATAGCCAGCTAAGAAGATTAAAATATAATGTTCCCACGCTATTCCTGTATTAATGTGCATCCTTATTTTAATCATCTTTTACGGCAGTTCGACTAATAAAATGTATAATGCTTCCTGTCTATGCAGCACACACATAATATATATGAACATATATATAATTATTGAATGCACTCACCACATTTTGCAAGTCCTGCGTCTCTACATCCGGTAGCAATTTTCGTATGGTGAAGCATAACTCAAGCCAAGTGAAATGATTTATTTTCAAAAGGTCACCAAATATTTTTAAAGGACATAGCAATAGATAAGTACGCCTCACTAAAGGATCCACAAGAAACATTTTTTCCACTTCCGGCAACAATGTTATTAACTCACTAAAAATAAACAGTCAAATATAAAAATTCATTTGAAATAAATGACAAATCTTTTCAGTAATAAATGCTTTGCTGTACATATGCCATCTTTAGTGAAGCTTTTTTAAAACATTAACACAAAGAATAATTTGGAGCATTCACGTTGAGAGATAGAGATATAATACAAAAAATGGTATAGTGTTGTTAATACAATAAACACCCTTTTTTGTTTCTTGTATAATCATATCATGCACATATTTTATGCTGTGTGAAAATATAGCAGTCACTTAACACTATGAGTATAAAACACAGGGAGTTTTGAAAGTTGACTCCTGAAAAAAGCACCACCCGTCCTGAAAACCATGTCACAAAATGGAGGGCAAGAAAAGCAAATAGTATGATTCAATAGAATACTTGTTACATAATCAATGAGTATAAATGCAGGAAAAAGCTTTTCCTGACAGTGGCTCTGCAAGTTACAACAGTGATAGGGAAATATATATATGCTATTTACCGGCTGGGACGCCCGTATGGAAAAAATATTTTCAAAAATATTTGCAATTGAGTCTCTCACAAAATCTTCAAGAATATCGTCATAAAAAATCAATAAAAAACGAAAGCTAAAAAGCTAACAAACCTCGTTTTGATAGAATTTCGAATTTGTCTAAAATCAAAACCTTGCAAGCCCCACCAAGTTGATTTATTGATATCAGCTGTTGATGTAAATGGAACTTCTTGAAATGGTTCACATTCTCCTCGGAGAAAATGAAGCAATGGTAAGGCTTTAAGCCAGTGAAGCAACGATTTCATTTTGATGAATGGGACAAATATTTTAAGAATATTTTCAATGAAAAAGCTAAAAAAACAGAAAAGAAGAATAAACATATTTCACGACACATGTAGACAAAAAGTACTATTTCTAACTTAAATATGTTTTTTTATTAGCATAATGAACAAGCTCACGTATGTTTAGAAAGACGTAAAATAGTAGAGGAGCTATTAATTCAATGGTCTTTGTATTGCAATCTAAAAACTTTTTGGTGATCGGTATTTGGTACTTAATCACTTTGAGGCAAAGACGCACAAATTTTGAAAGACTGATATAGTCAACCTATGGCCATCTTCCAGTATTTAATCAAAATTTGCTTTGGGTTTTTCACACGAAAATACTCACTGCTCAAGTCCTTCATAAGAAACAGAATTCACCAATACTTAGCAACAAATTTAAAAAAAAATAAAAGTTGTTGCGTTTAATATCACCATTAAGACTCTGTTTGAATCATATCAGATTGCAATATGGGTCAATTGTCACAGCTATTAAACTCTTTCCACGAATTTAACATGAAATGCACACGAATTACCATTCAAACTATGCCAGACTTAAAAACTAGCCGTTCATAAAGCCGTATAAAGGACGTTTCTAGCTCAGGAAATAAATGAATTTGTCACGAGGCAAGTGCAACTGACTTTTTGAACAGACTTTTGCATTGACTGCCATTGATAAAAAAGTTGAAAATTTATGACGTGCTTTGTAGCGAGTGAAATAGTAGAATAGGAAAAGCTGTTTCATGTCAATATCCTGTTTGTTCATGATTCGACACATGGTGAATTGGCAATAACTTCACATACACACGCAAACGGAAATGTCTATGTGATAAAAATAAGGATGTCTATTCTTCGTAAAGATCTTATACGTGCACATTCTATATCACACGTCATCTGTTTTTTGCATTTTAATTTATTTCTGATTTAATTTGTTTGGGAAAAAAATTTTTACTTTGAAGTTGCAGCAGACATGTTCGGTGAATATTCACCGATTAGGTGCCGATGCATGTAGTTGCATTTCTTGCTCTTTAAATCAAGCAAAGATTGATATATAGTTTTATGTTCTACATTATCTACATGCTGATGCAGTTTTATGTTTTACACTGGCAGCATGCTGAAGTTTTTTCGAAGAAGTAGGTTTTTTCGAATAAAATGTGTGTTTAACACATATTTCTTAAGTTTATTGGTTTGGTTTCCACCATAGAGTGTAGGAATCCCTTATTAACTACATTCACATATTCATTTATTCCGCTGTGCCATACTGATTTCCTGTGAAAGTGATTTGAATACAACCCCCAATTAACGTTTAGTTTTGCCTCTGGTGGCATCGCACCCCATCGCCCTATTTATGTGTGCCTCAACAGAACAGTACTATTTCGTTTTAGTATAAGGCTACGACGAGATTATAATTTGCTATCTTACATGAATTACATAAGACGGAAAGAGTACTGAAACACTTGTTTTTTATCTGTCTTTTTGACAGAAATAAAGAAAGTAGTGAGATCATTTTGTCACAACCCAAAATGTGCACTTTCATTAAAATCAGAAACCAGTAATTATAACTAGAAAAAAAATAGAAAAATTTGCACCTTTACAAACAAACCTTCGAATTTGTTGGTCAAATGCGTTTAAAAATGCCAAAAAGTTCCCGCAAACAGTTTCGTCAACAGGAAACTTTAGACACTGCAAAATTTGACTGACGTTGTTTTCGCTTGGCGCAAAACCGTATTTCCAAAACACAAATGCAATCATAGCAGATGAAACTAAAGCATCAAATTTATTTTCTTTTTTTACTTTGTCATTTTTCAGAACAAGGAGATTTGCTTTTATTTTGGGCATCAGCAACTGAGTAAAGACCTATACAAAGAATGTAAATAAGATTACTAGAAATTAAAGAAAGAAACATGCCAAAGTTTTGTTCAGCCTTTTTAAAGCTATTTTCAAATCATTTAAAGAATATGTGCTTAAGAAATAAATAATACTATGATAACAACATAGAACAAAAAATTAAAACTTGACTAAAACAATTCTTAACTTCAACAATTGGTATCAACATGTTTTCAACAAGTGTTACCTTGTATGACTTAGTGAAGTTGTAGTTTAAAGGAATTCGTGTATCAAAATAGTGTAATAGCATTATTATCTTTTTGTTAATTCTTGCTTTTCAATAACAGTTTTGCACGGAGAAACGCTTTATAGTAAAATTTTACACCTTTTTAAAATTGGCTTTAGAAAATTCTGTCTTTGAGTGTACTCCATTATTAAATATCCACATCTCGGTAACTGCTAAGTACAAAAGATGAAGCCTCTCCATTGCCTCATCTAGTCGCAGTATTACATCCTCAGAACTGTTAACAAACCCAATCCATTGTGGAAAAAACTTTCGTAAGAATAATTCTCTGTCATTTAATGCAAACTCAAAGTGTTTACGAATTCGCCCAGAGTTTTTGTAAACAAATCCATCATATTTGTAAAAAGTTTCTAAAATAAAACACGCAATAATAGTTAAGCAGTCTCGGAAAAAGAAGTTACAAAAATCCACATCAAACACATAACTGCAGGACAGATCGGTGTTCGATCACAAAAGTTGACGTGGATTTTTGAAATATTACCAAAGGGTAGAACCTGTTTCTAGATCTGTCAATTATCTATTTGAGTTGGCAACAGGATTGTCTCAAAGTCGATGTATTTGAGAGAATCTAAGTATAAAATTTGAGCGTGGTATCGTCGTTTAGGCGTATAGCTAGACATTATGTATTGAAATTTCGTTCAAAACAACCTATAGATGAACAATTTTTGTCGACAGAGCTATGATTGGGGGGTCCATAAGTGCCAGATATTAAAGCCCGTTTTCCATATAATCGTCTCGATCGTCTGTCGTCTGAAAGTGTGCAGGGACGATATCGCACGCAATCGTTCCAATCGTCTGGAAAGAACAGAGCTCTATCCAGACGATTGTAATCGCTTTGATCGCCTCGTTCGTTTCGATCGTCTCAAAAATGTTTCCATAAAATCGCTCTAATCGTCCCTGCACACTTTCAGAAGACTGACGATCGTGACGGTTATATGGAAACCGGGCTTAATTAACCGCATTAGCTAGATTGTGCATATTCGTCAGGATCATTGAGTGCCATCAACGATCTCTAGGTTATATTATTAATAATATTCGCTTGGAACATGCTAGTCGACAGACAGAAAATGTCGTGTAAAACTTACTGTCGCGGTAATAGAAGCGTTCCGAAAATATTTCATCAACATATTAGATCACATTTATCAATTGATCTAAAGAGTTGCTCAACGAAACTCTTTGAAAACTCCTAACTTCCTCTTTTGAATCGACCAATCATATAATGCGCAATTTTTAAATCAAACAACCACAACAAAGCTTTGTGAATCACTTTGTAACTGAATGAATTCAGGAATCAGGCATCGGGTTAAATTCAGTAAAAATGTTGCCATTTTTTAAAAGGAAAGATATTTTTTCGAAATTGAGAAATTGCAACCACCAGAAGTAAAAACTAAGGTGGAATTAAGGTCATTGGAGCTGGCTGACATCGAAAACCATATTCAGCTGTCATATCAAACAAATATTATGATTATCAAAGAGACTTGTCATACACAACCAAAGATGAGATCAGATGTAGGGTAGCCTCCACTCTACAACCGGCCTCTATACGTGACAAAAATTTGACAAAGGATAAGCAACAAGCACTCAAACGGCTAAAACACGACAACAACGTCGTTATTTTACCAGCAGACAAAGGACGCGTGAATGTGGTCATGGAAGGGACTGATTACAAACAACAAATACCCATGCGACCAATTGTATCATTCTGTGGTTCGCCTACTTATGAACTCTCGTACTACTTGACTGACATACTGCAACTACTTACAAGCAAATCAAAACACAAGCTACAATCCACTGAAACTTTCATTAAAAAACTAAGCACTATACAAATACCGGACTGCTATATACTAGTGTCTTTAGATGTGAAATCACTGTCCAACAGTATTCCACTTAATCTGGCGCTTGTACAAAAACCTTCATTACAAACACCACGGACGTACTTCCATTACCGACAGAAGACATTATGGAGCTACTGGAGCTCTGCTTCATCTCGACTTACTTCCAGTACAAAGGTACACACTAGAAACAATTACATGGAGCAGCAATGTGCTCATCCGTTTCTGTTGTAGTTGCTGAAATTGTAATGCAATCTATAGAAGAACGGGCGCACACGAATTACAAACATGCACTACCTTTTTGGTTTCGCTACGTAGATGACACAATCACAGCACTACATGCAGACGAGATTGATGACTTTCACACTCACATCACCAAACAGAACAGCCAAATACAATTTACCAAAGATGTCGAAGAAAACGGAACTCTTTTTTTCTCGACTGTTTGGTAAAACAGGACAATCCTAAACTACGAACAACAGTTTATCGCAAACCAACACACACTGACAGACTACTAGACCAATCATTTTACAACCCTACATCACACAAAGCCACCACAATCAGAACATTAACAAGACGTGCACAAATCATATGTGATTCACCGGACACTCTTCACAACTAAAACAACTATCTCAAACGGGTTTTTGACAAAAACAACTACAACTCTGACTTCATCAAACGCAACACTTGCAAACACAACGAACCCAACAAAACTAAAAACTCAGCGACAACAGCAACGATACCTTACATTAAAAGTATCTCTGAGACTATCTCGCGTACAAAATACGTGTCGCACACAAACCAATCACAACGTTACGATAAGTACTAACGAACATAAAGGACAAAGAACAACTCAACGAACGACAAGGTGCAGTTTTCAAAATAAACTGCTCCGACTACCACGCCTCCTATATCGGGGAAACTGAATGGAACTTAAACATAAAACTTACTGAACACAAACGAGCTACAAAGAAACAAGGTTTGCTTTTGACAAGGTTTGCCTTGTTTCTTTGTAGCCCGTTAGTGCTCAGTAAGTCTTATGTTTAAGTTCTTAATCACAATGCCAAACATCACCGACTCAAAAAGCACAACATTGACTGGGACAAAGGCTTACATTAGAAAGTAAGTTGAAAGTTGGCGCTATAAATAAAATCACGATAAATCCCCAGTAAACATAGCTTTTGGTCATTGCCAGTTAACAAGTTCATCAAAAGCTCATACATTTTAAGAAATTTCAGCATTTGAAAGTCATTTATACTGAGGAAAATTCAATCGAATTTCTTTCAGTTACGGAGTGATTCACAAAGCTTTGACGTAATTGGTTATTTAAAAAACACATGATATGATTGGTCAATTCAAAGTATGAATGGCAGGAAGTTAGGAATTTTTCAAAAAGTTTCGTTGAGGAACTCTTTAGATCAATCAATAAAAGTGAACTAATGTGCGGGTGAAATATTTTCGGAGCGCTTTTTCTATTGCCGCGACTTAAAGATTTAACAGATATTGCTATCGCAAACAACTGAATTTTTAATTGGCAATCAACCAACCTAAAGGCATGTTCATATGAGCCGGACTGGCCCACTTTGTCGGGCTAGCCCGGCGGTAGCGAGATCTCTCCTCTTTTAGTATTAACATAAAATTTCAAACTATATTCATATGAGAGGTGGGCTGGCCCGTCTTGCCGGGATCTTGCTTGAGCGAGGCGGGATCTGGGCATAAACGGGTTCATGTGAATGCAATAGGCGGGCTAGCACGGCATGCAGAGACAAAATTCATAATAGTGCGCATGCTCATGAATTTCTGTTCGATGCAAAATAGAGCGTAAATAAATGTTTTTGTACTTGCCGGGCCAACCCGCCTCATATGAATCAAAAAATAAACTGGCCCGGCAAAGTAAGCTAACCGGTAAAGCGCTCCAGCCCGGTTCATATAAACAGCCTACAAGCCAGGTATTACTAAGTTCTTCCCCATGATAGTTTTAAACTTTGATGCAACATCTATGACGATCGTGCACGTAGTAGTAATACAGTGCCGGATTAACCATATGGCAGAAGCGGCATATGCCGCGGGCCCCGCGCTTCTGGGAGCCCCGCGCTTGCCTTTGGAAAAAGAAAACAAGGGAAATAAAACGAAACGGCCAAGACTAATTGAAATATAAAAGCGTGAGGCCCAATTCCAAAAACGGTAACACTGCAAGTATCAATGATTCACTGGCAAAATATAGGCTATATTTTGCAATGGGATAGGAGATCCATTTGTATCGTCATATTACATGTTGCAGTTTCCGTTAATTTAGCTACACCTATTATATTACATAAAGTCTTTCGTCTGGCAGTAGGATTGCAACTCGATATTGTTGTAGTCTCGACTTTCAAACCGTATTGAATACTATCAGACTTTTTTCGATTCATTTTGATAATTTTTGAGATTGCTGTTGTTTGTGACTTGTACGTGTTGTTGACAAATTCAAACTGGAGATATTCAAGGTATTTGGCTGAATGCTGAAGCAGTGACGGCGACGCTTGGTAAGTTTTGATGATTTACTAACTGCCGTGAGCCGTGTGCATTCTTACGTTTCCTTGGTTACATGTTTATTCCTCATATATAAATTGCCGATTTATATGAAATAACAATATATTTCAAAATGTCCTGAATTCCTGGCAGCTCAAAGGCCCAAGAAGCGTATGCGTGTTTGATTTATTTTCTCACAGTTCTGTATGTGCGATAGTAAACCGTCAAATCGTCCTTCTATGTTTTTGTGAAAGTAAATATTACTAAAACGTCACTTTCAAATTTTTAGGTTTGCTAATTGCTATAATATAGTTAACAATAAAAGAATGAGTTCCACCAGTGGGGGTGGCAACCGCGACCGCGACAAAAATCGCAAATATGCATCTGGAGCAGCAAAAGGAAAGGCAAAGGATAAACGAATTTTACGGGAAAGTAAAGTTTTAAGTAAAATGCCGAAAATATCGGAACTGTTTCCTCCGAAGGCTGATGAAGGTTCTTCTGAGCTGACTGCTGCAGATGAAGCGATGACAACAATGGCAGAAGCAGTTGAGGAACCCGACACTGGCGACACATCCAAGGAGTTGACATCTGGTGATACGTCCATTTCCACTGATAACAATGATGGATACTCTTGTGATTTGGGATTATGGCCTACTGATATTTCTGACAATATGAGAGAGCACTGGGCAGGTCAAGGGAGTAGTCAGTGCAGAAATTCCGATGCCGATTTCAGCGCAACATCAACAAGATATGAGGGAGATGCTTACAATAGACGATGTCAAAAAAACTTTGTTCACGTACACACATGAGCTTACAAAACAGCAACATCCTCGAAACTGGCTCTGCTATTCACCATCCAAACATGTCGTGTTCTGTTTTGCGTGTAAACTCATGACTGACAGCATCGTTTTTGGAAAACAAGGTTATAATGACTGGAAACGCGCATCCCAGTCAATTCCACGACATGAGAAAAGTTCAGCGCACCGTAATGCTGTTTTTCAGCTACTCCAACGTAGCGATGCTGGCTGCCGTATTGATTCAGAACTGGTCACACAGGCCAGTGATGAGCGTAACTATTGGCGGGCAGTACTTGAGCGGGTAACAGAAACCATCCGTTATCTTTCCGAGCGAAGTTTACCATTTCGCGGCACTGATGAGATCGTTGGATCGCCAAAAAACGGTAACTACCTGGGAACATTAGAACTTATATCGATGTTCGATCCATTTCTAGCGCAACACATCAACCGTAATGCAAATAAGGGAAAGGGTCACACATCCTATCTCTCAAAGACCATTTGCGAGGAATTCATCCGTCTGATATGGCCCAGCTTGAAATTGGAATTCTGGCAGCATTATGGCATCAAATCTTGCAACGATTTCAGAGAACAAGTCAGATCCTTCAATTAGCTGATCAAGATCTCAACACTGCTGTTGCATTATATGAATCGCTGATTGAGTTTGTCCTTTCGCTGCGAACCAGATTTGAAGAATTTGAAGCCAAAGGAAAGGAGCTCAGTGAATGTGATCAATATAAAGAAGAGATCAAGCGCGTGCGTAAACGAAATCGTCGTAACGACGAGCCAGGATCAGCACCTGATTTGTTGCAGATTCCAGCCGACAAGTTTCACACAGGTACTTTCCTTGTAATAATCGATAGTCTGGATGCTGAGTTGCGAAAACGACTGAGTGCTTACATCAACATTGCTGAAAAGTTTGGCTTTCTGCGAAAGCTTACAGATCTGCCAGCTGAAGACGTGTTGGAAAACGCACAAAGATTGCAAAAAGCATTTTCCACTGACCTCGAAGTCAATTTGGGTGATGAATTGCTCCAGTTTTCTAGCTTTCTCAACACAGAATTCGTGAAAAGAGCATTAGATGCGAGTCATGCAGCTGCACCTCATTATTCTTCAGCTCGAATTGGATCTTCTGCTCAGCCTAGTGAAGACCATGACGTCGATGTAACATCCGATGATGATGACGACATCAAAGTGAACGTAGACTCCCTAGAACTGCGTATATACAGGTTTCTTGTGGGAAATAACCTGGAAACTGTATTTCCAAACACTGTTATTGTGTTTCGCATTTACCTCAGTATGATGATATCAAATTGTTCTGGTGAACGGTCGTTCTCGAAATTAAAGCTAATAAAGGATCATCTTCGTTCAACCATGACACAGGAACGACTAAATAGCCTTGCTCTTCTGAGTATTGAAAATGATGTTCTGCGTAGTATTGATATGTCATCCCTGATTAATGATTTTGCTCTTATGAAATCCCGTAAGCATAACGTTTATAAGGCTTAACACTTCTGCACAGTAAAACCTTTTACGTCTTTTTTTATCGTGTTTATTATATTAGTCTGTTTAATATTGGTATGTAATGTTTGTTATACGTACGTGATTGTAAATTGGAATTATATTCAACGTATTGGTTTAAATAGGCCAAAATACGAGGTTTTATTGTTTGAGTTAAAAAAACAGTTTTTTATTGCATTTTGGTAAACACAGGGGTTGGGGCAAGGGCCCTGCACTGATATTATGCCATGGGCCCCGCAAAATGTTAATCCGGCCCTGAGTAGTATCTTTAGTTATATAACTACACATGCCTATTAATAATTGAGCTGAATGGCGATGTTTAAAAGATTGCACACATTGTTAAAATGTAATATGTTAAGCTTATTTTATACATGGCTACTATATAGTGCCGTTTTATTGAGTTGTTGCATAAAATTTAATACAAAAAACTTACTAAATCAGCCTCTCAAAAATAGGATGATGAAATCAAAACCATTTTTGGTTATAGAATGCTTGTACTACTTGTAATGACCACACATACATATTGTACAATAAAAATAAACTTACTATTCTTCACAAAGTATTCTTTTGGGACATGTAGGCTGCGATTTATCTTTCCGAAATCCGAGTTGAACGTGGATTCTACTTCCACTAACAATTCATATTTTTCTTCATCGGAAGACACCAGGACATATTTATACGCACATTTCCCGATTGAATATTTTAATGGAACCTGAATGGAAGCTTTCAGCGACAACTGTTTCTTACCAAATCTAAAAAATTAACATTGAAAACATTCATCATCATTGATTTAAAAAAACGAAACAATCATCCTGACATACACATTTTAGTGTTAAATGTATGATTATGTGAAATCGCTCAATAGAGTCAATTAAACTTATTTTTATTTTGGGATAAGTCTCATACTTTTTCCGTTTCTGACATAGAAACATCTATAGGCTAAGGCGAAATGAATTATTGTATGTATAAACAATAAAAAACTTGAGTTTTGATTGTAAACTCTCTGTAAACACATCCTGATGTATATCAGTATATGACGTCCTATTTACAAACAATAGTTTCCACAAGGCACAATTGTAGATGGCATTAAAAGACAGTTTTAAAAAAATCAAACAATAACGAGGTTTGCCAAAAAAAACAATAAGAACTGTCTATTCAAAAGCGTTTGAACAAATAGGATGCAGAAAAGGCTAAAAAAGCAACGAAACTGGTCTTACACGAACATATTTTCAAATTATTTATAGCAGAACAACTAGTATACAAACCGTTTGACAAAGACAAATTAGCTGAGGTTTTGAAAATGATTCAGCTACATCAAATTTTTTTTACAATATTTCAGTAATAATAAAACAATTATTGAATTTGGCTTTCGCATTATATCAAAAATTATTCCGACCTTGGTCACGTGTAAACGTTATCCTTTTGCACTTTTCTTTGGTAGATAACATTGACCTCAATGTAAATGGTTGTTGATAGTATGCTCAGCTTTATTCGATAATTGTTCGCTAGTCATATAAATTCATTCTTATATAGTTAGCTACATTTCGATATTGCTTAAAACTAACTTTAATGGTAAAGATTCATTCTCTATTAGCAGATTCGTACTCGTATTCTCTTGCAAGTGCTTTAATTTGATAGGCTACTCTGCTTTTTCATAATCTATTTTTTCATAGATTGCGAGTAGCAAAAAAAACATGTCTGCTGACCGTTTCTTTCGTTTCACTTAGGTTTCTGATACTAAAATGGATTTATAATTTCAGAAAGTAAATCTACAGAAGACGTATATTGCCATTAAATACAACAATATTTAAAAGAAACAAAAACTTAATCAAAATAACTAAACCTGCATTGAGCATGCACGACTCGCTCGTATTTTAATTTAACAATGTTAACAACAACAAATATATTAAACAAAACAAAAAAGGAAAACTTTGACAATTGACAATCTTTTTCTTTATGAATTGTATGATTCATCTAAAACAAATAAATTACTCGCTCCTACTTTGCATAATGCGATAGGTTGATTTAGGCTTACCCCCACCCAAGCTCGTTGTTTAATTGTTGTTTATATTGCAGGTGTCAATTCAGGTGAAACAGTGCGCTTTTGATTCGCTTAGAAAAGTTTGAAGAGATCACTACTTCCCCATAATGGACCGTTACAGTATATTTAATGCATATAGTTGAAGGAAAAAATTATAAATAATTTTCTAAAGAAAACACAAAAGTACGTATACTGTAAAACGCCAAAAGCAAAATAAAAAACCTTGTACATAAATATGACTGTACGCCCTGCACGCTTAATTTAAACAAATAGACCTTGATTGTTCCTATATTTCTTAATAAACACTTCCCATTTTTTAAACAAGTGCCTGAAATTCACAACGTTTTGATGTTTGTGAAACTATAAAGTAACAGCGATAATCTATTTTCACTAACCATGGATTGCTACCAGATGTTGATCGGTCAACAATAAAACTACAATGACAATGTGCAATACATACGTTTCTGTTCCAACAGGTATTCCAAATCCCTTATTCCATCCACCAAAAACTGGTTTGTCTCCACGTATGAAAACTTTGAAACCTTTTTCAATATCTTCTACAAAACTTTCCGTTAAAACCGCTATAAAAATAACAGTAAACGTTTCTTTTCTTTTATTTGTTGAGTTTGTATCGCCTCTCTAAAAGAAAATGAAGAACAATGCTTGAGAAAAGTGTAGAGATACAAACGCCTGTAGTATAAAAGCTCACTCACACTTACTGAGCGAAGCTTCAAAATCACCTCATAAATAATGAAAGACTGCCTTTTTACTATGCTAATTGTTTCATTTGAAATATTGTAGCAAAAGTCTTGCTATATTAATGCATGAATTTTAACTCAACCATTAAGCTTGCCATAGTTTTGAATAGTTATTTGACCAGCCAAACAGATACGTTAAAGAAAAAATCACCTGCAAGCTATTGAAAATACTTTTTCATCCAAAAAACGACACTAATTCTTATACATTCACAAAAGATGTATAGAATATCCACAAATTACAAACTGATACAACGTGATTCAACCAAGAAAATGGCCGCGAAGATCATTTGAGCGCAGGCTGTATTGTGGTTGACAGTGATTCTTTAAGTGTTAACGTGAGTGAGCTTTTAAAATATAGACTTAAGTTTTCAATTCATTATTAGAAAGTATATTGATTAAATTGATTGTATTATGCATGAATAACGGAAGAGCCGCACCTTCTTTCATCTTGTTTTCCACTGTTATGGTTTTCATTTTCATTATTTGTTTCCAGATAAACATAATCAGTGCACTAATAAGACGCAACAAATTCGTTTTCATGGTAGATTTCATGACTTACATATGACATTGTGTATAGCAAATGTTTGTAATCTTTCTTGTTTACCTGCTCAGATTTACATAAATTATTTTCAGTTGCCTGTTGTAAAAGCGTCAGGGGATCAGTAAGCTAAAGAAACATAATAAATACAATTCAAGAAAATTTTGAAATATCGTATGAAAATTTCTCTTGGTAAATATGTTACTCAGTTTTTGTAATCATGGGAGTGCTTATTAGCAGTGATAACTTCTATTTAATGGAGTATTGATGATTTACCGTTTCCGTCGGCTTAATGTCTTGTCTGTTACTTTTTCTAGGACTATTAGTTCTTAAAGAACTTTCTGCTCCATCACCCTCACTGTCTACTATGGAGTTAGAAAGATTATAATATCGAAAATACAAACGAAAAACACTTTAAATTCTTGGTGTTGTATGATATTGCTAAAAATACAGTATTGATTAGTATTGATGCTATTGTTCGTATCTGTTAGTTAATTTTCACACCTAACGAATTGTCTGACATTTGTGTATTGACACGTCTTTTTTAAACTACTTAGTCTAAATTTGTTGTTCACTTTGCAAAGCAATAGCTAGAGTTAAGAGAGATTGAAAATGATCTACATAAGAGAAATATGCAAACGCTGCGTCGTACTGTGTAGTGGTTGGCAGTGGCGTGCGGTGACCGAATTTAATAGGCAAGCGCTGGGGGTGAGCACCGTCATATGTTCGGGCAATCAGTTTCTCGCCGCATCCGTACTCGTTCAGGGTTTTAACGACTTCTTGTTTCAGTCTAGCCGCAGTTCTATCCTCACTTACATCGGTAAATCCAAGAAAGCGCTCCACAGCTTTACCACTGGGTTGACATAGCGAACTATAGTTGTTAGCTGCGATAAGGTCTTAACGTCGGAGGTTTCATCCAGGGAAATAGCGACAAATGGGCTCCTCATCACTTCATCTTTTATTGCTTTCAACATAACGTCCTTGACAGCAACAATCAAATCGTTCTGGATACGATTAGAAAGTCCAGAAAACACGGTTGCTGTATGAAGATGCTGTTCAAGCGTGGGGTCATATGCACTTAGCAGTTTTATCAATTCGACGTAATTGCCCCTGTTGGCAGACTCCTCCAGCTCCACCCGACCTCTGAAAGAAAGTTCCTGTTTGCCAAGAAAGCAAACAACATCAATGAAACGGCGAAGTACTTCTCTATTCTTGTGCACCATCAAGTTGTGAGCTGAGATGTGTTGACGGGCCTGTTCGTCTAGCTGCATGTCGATGCGTGTACGCCCAAAACTGGCATTCATTAGGCAACTGGACAAGTGTGTCTTCGTTTTCTCGTGTCTGTTGACGGCATTACACAGGTTGGCCAAATCATCGTATCCCTTCTTGCACCAGACTGTCTTGTCTGTTGAGTTGAACAAAAGACACGGCCAGCAAAATAACTTATTCAATTTTGAGGAGCCAGCCAGCCATTTGTACTTGTCGTAATTTGACGTCTGAAAACTTCGAATAAAGACTTTACCACTTCGCTTGGATGTTGTATGTAGTCCTTGCAACTCAGGAGTGGGACGGCCACCTTCGACGATCTCTTGTTTCTCGGAAAAAAGTCTCAATCCAAATGAGCGGGATAACAGTGATTCCACAATGCATTCAGTCATGTTGTACAGGTGTCGTGAAAATACCGAATGTAGAAGTAGAACATAAAAGGATGAAAATTCCTATGCTATATATTTTATAGGAGCATCAATCTTATTTATACCTTACATCAGTTACATGATATCTACCGGATACAAATATCAAAACTACTACGCAAAAGGAAGCTCTTGTCAATATCATAATCTTGTATTACATGCTACAGATAATATCTTCTACATACATAAATTGCAAGACAATAGGCGCGAAATGTATTGTAGCAGTCGTGATTATAACAATTAAGAACAGCCAGTTTCGCGCACAAAATTGGCACGGTGTGTTACAATCTGAGGCCATGGCGTTGTTTAATGTTTATATTTTGGTATAATGACGTCATGGCAACGTGTTCTCCCGTTCTTCAAAATGTGTCTGGCACTGGCTCGTACGTTTCAGAATATCGGAGAGTCGTGTTTATTATTTAATACCTTGCACTTTTTATTTTTAGTCATTAATTTACGAATTCAACAACACAAGACTGACAAGAGCATAGTGTTTTGGTCATAATGCTAGTCATACTTTACCACAACACACGTTTGCGTGCATTTCGATATCTCTGCAGACTGCGGCCCCTGCTTGTTTACGCACATTGGGCGCAGAAAATAATAAAATAACCAGTAAAGCACCTACTACTTTGAATTAGAAATCAGAACATTACCTTTCGCTCTCAGTCATCTTTTAATAAACGATAACATTAACGGCGTGAATAATTCGGATGTCCAATGTGTTGAATATACGAATATTATTCGTGCGCTGATATGTGTTTAAAATTGCGAGCGTACAAGACTGTTGACCAATCGCTATCAAGCGGCGCCCTTAGAAGCGCCGCTTGCCTTTTTTCGATATTCCTCGAATAAGAAGCCTCCAAATCTAGATTAACGCATGCGCAAATATTCAAATTGAGCTCCGAAGGCAAGCGCGCTTGCCTTGGTTAATATATAAGAAATTTTTAAGGTGTATTTAATCCACTTGACTCATCTTACAAGTGTAGCAAAGTGAAACCGAAAACCACGACAGTAAATCGCGTATAAATAGCAAGCATTTCAACTGTAAAGACAATTTAGACAAAAGATTACATTGACATTGTTTAGAACAGAAAAATTTAAACTGATTTTGCTCAGAGATTGATCCAAAAAATTTTTGTTCGGTAAAATGCTTAGGCAAGCGGCGCTTGCCTACGCTTGCATGACCGCACGCCACTGGTGGTTGGGCGGTCAAGAAAACGAAATCAAGCTAATTCCTTTCATGCTTTCGTTTCTGCAGTAGTTCTTGTTAAACTTCCTAAATTTCTTGGAACAACCACGTTTGCTAAAATGATATTCTAAAAAATGTTACTTACAGATGCAATACTTTTACAATTCTATAACGAGTAAATAAAATTTTAATAGTTTACAGTTGGCAGTTATCAACTATCTCATTTGGACAAATAGTTGCCACTTTCGTATTTTAAGTTTAGCTTTTTTACTGTATGTAACATTTACATATTTTATGCTGCATGATTTCATCGCTTTTGTTAAACTCACAGTTTGTCTCAATGTGCAAACAGATGACTTAAAACGACAGATTGTCTTCATTTTGTTCTTGTGTACCAGAAAAACGTGTAGGTTAAGTGCGACGTGTCTGCTTGTAAATGAGCCGGTGTGCGTTCGGCTTAAGAGATTGTGTTTTAGATCAAACATTTATTTATGTTAAAACTAACACCAAGCGGTGGAGACGCTGTAAACAATAAGAGTTTTACATTTGTTTAGTCCATAGTATTACAAACCATAATATCTTACTAGGAAGGCCTCCGATTCTTACTCTACAAGCAAATATTTTGTGTTCATTCGCTGGAAAAACAATGAGCGGAATTAATTTTCGAAAAAATGAATAATATTCAGCTAAAAATTGGTAATTTTATGAGTAAAGTATTCGTTCGGTAACAACGTCACTGTACCAACTTTTGGTTAAAGCGTTCGATGACCTAATGACTTTTAAGTTAAGCCAAATAGTGCATTGGTTTTTATAACTTCTTTGACAGTAAAATTTTCTTTTGAAACTAAGACAATTAAAATATGCAAACCACTACACACTAAAAATTTACATAAAACATAAATAGTAATAAACGTAAACAAAAACTTTTACAACAGAATTAAAATCTATAAATATATGCTGTATACATTTTAACAAACACCTAAATGGTATTTGGGATTTAGTCGCATCTCTACAACATCTAAAAGTATCGAATCCTTCACAGACAAAGAAAATCAGAAATCGAAACCGAAAGTTCTAAAACGCAATGAAAGATTTTGGCGATTATACAATTTGAAAGAAACGATCTTGCAAAAAGTCCGGTGTTGAAAAATTATAATCAATCACTTACCAACGCTTTCATCCAGATTTTGGTCACCGATGGTGGAATTGGATGAGGTTGACGTTGTTGTATTAGATTGATTATCCTTTAAAATCTCATCTTCGTGTGCTGGAACACTTAGAGACATCGCCCCTTTTGCGTTAAAGTCCACGAGCGCAAAATTGCAAGCGAATAAAAACTTTTAATTACATTGGTAATTAATAGTTTAGAAATACTCCTCGTACGATGTGCACTTGTTTCTTAACTATTCACAAATGAGTTTCATTTATTGCTTTCTGAATTATTCATGCTAAAGGCAAAGTATTTGATTGGCTCTTTACTCGACAGGAACAACCAATTCTATTTGAGTACTCATGTTGGCTTAGCAACATAACACTTAGATAATCATTGGTCGCGCAGCATATGAAATGCGAAAAGTCATTAAAGCCCCTCGGCCACTCCATGCATTCATAATTGCAGCTAGTCAATTGCATAGTCTGAACAATAGAAACACGGAAATGGCTAATAGCTGCACGTATTCACAAAATAGTTGTCATCAACAACTGCTTAAAACGTTATCTATACAACAGGTTAGCAACATCTAGCTATAAGATATGTTGAAAGTTAAAAAAGGGCCAGTCGTAAATAATACTCAATATCGTTTTTATCTTATCCATGAGATTTACCTGGGAATTTAAAAGTCAACATCGATCAAAGGAAATCATTTTGCCTGAAATGATATGGCATTTCAAGTTGAAGCTATATAACACAGGTTTAATACATTGTAGGGCACATTCCCAAGATTCAAAAATTTGATATTCATATTGGAGCAAATGGTAGATTTAGACTTTATTTACGCTGATAGGTTAATAAAGACAGAAATAATGATATACTATTTTTAATTACTGACTATTGTTCTCCAATGTTTTCATAATAAATGATAATTGTTTTCTGTATTTGATGTAATTTTATGATGAGATTTTTGTAAATTGGTTTAAAAAATACCTAGCTATGTCTTCCAAATCTCGCTTGAAATTAAACGAACATTATCAAGTTAGAGAATTTCAAGCAACTTATCGTCATTAAAAAAATTGTCGACTAAATCAATACATTTTTGAATTGTAGTCATCACTTTTTTGACATGCAAGCTTCCAAGCCTCAACAGCATGTGCAACAGTAATTTCATCAGGTAGACTTTCCTCGAGATCTTTAATAATTTCACAACCATCTCGTTCAAGCTTTGCATTGATGTACTCAGCTAAACTATATGTTAAAAACGAAAGTTAAAATTATAGTGGTATGAGCTATATAAAAAAAACTTTTTCTAATAAATACAACTAGCTTTCTATTGATACAGTTAAATAAGTTTTTTCGACTTATTAAATGACAAAGTTTGATTGAAAAGTTTTGGAAATGTAAAAAGCGGATAATTGTACACTTTAAACTTTTTTCATGATTTTGTAATAACCTTTTCATTTATGTAAGACATGCTTCCATGACATTTAACATTTTTCCGATGATTAAATTTTTACAAAACATTTGCAGATATTCGCACATATTCCATCATGACTTGTATGTTACAATTTTATGAAATTATGTTTTATCACGTTTTACGACAAACATTACTTTTTAAATAAATTTAGCAGCGTTTTTTTTTATAAATGAATGGGTTTTGTACAACAACACGAGTTTCCATCACGTTAGACAAGGTTGTCAGTAGAACATCTTGTATTTAGAAAAATTCCTGTAACTAAATCGTGTTCTCCAAACATGCTTGTATTTCTAAAATGCTATAGAGTTGAAAATAAGCTAGCTACTTAATGAAACGCAAACAAGTAACATTAACCCATACACTTTTTCATGATACGATCAGGGTTTGATAACGGTCGACCAACTATACGATGTAAAAAGTTGGGATATGAAAGGACATGTTGTAAGTTTAAGAAGCACAAAAAATAGTTATGTAGATAGTTTTACTTACGGCCAGTGCAACTGTTCGTTTTGTGCATTTTTCAAAAAGAGTAAAATAAGTTGCAACAATTCGTCAACAAAACGATCAATGTTGATTTTCTGTAAGCCACGACTTAATTCAAATTTCATATTTTTGTTCAATGCTGTCTTTATCTTATCTGTTACATCGTCAAATGGTTCCTATAGCAATACCACAAAGATTTCAATATTCCCATATCAACTTTTGCTTGATATTTTAGTGTTACGCACTATATAATCTATACAGTTCTTATACAGTCCATATCAACATAAACTATTTTAAAGGGCTGCATATCAGTAGACATGTTTTTTATTGATGTAATTATGGTAGTCAAAATTAGCTACATTTGCTTTATCTAGATAACGATAAATTATCGCCTGTTTAAGAGAAACAAGTAAAAAGCAGGACTCATGTGCAAAATAATCAGACTGAAATGGTCTTAATTGACATTGATTTTATTCGTCTAAAAGCAAAACATACGTATACTATTATATCTGTCAGCGCAATTAATACCTTCACGTAAGAATTACTACGCGATTTATATCAAAATATAACCCAAGCCGAGCAAACCTGTTTACGTCTAGTCAATATTCTTGCTCTCTCTAATGATAACAGTTTCCAAAGCGCAACAACATGTTGAAGTTGACAAGTCTGCTCTGCCTAAAATATAATTTAAGAAACCATTATAAACACACGGTGAAAGAATACAAAATACTTTTATGGCTTTCATTCTTTATATTACATTAATAATCTGTTCGGCTGAGAAATAGGCTAGACATATAAGCCAAAGTTAATTAAAAATTCAGAGCTATTTAAAGAATTAATTTCGGTCAAGCATTATAAAACTGAGCTTTAACAAACTAATATCGAATTGAACCGCAGACAAAGGCCATTGAAAACTCTTCAAGAATGTTTTTGTTTGATAAAAATGACTTTAGCATATAGTTTTTAATCTTCACAAAAACTCAAAGGTTGTTCATTTTATTTACAAACAGTATAGCTACCTTGCCACTTTTTAAACCGTTTCTAGGATCAACTTTCAATGCTGATTTCATATATTGACTGATAAGCATTCCTGGATTTCCTCCAGCAGATGATAAGAAACCAATGACATTGTGGAGAGATTTAAGAACGTCACAAACATCAGTGAGTTGGTTCAGTTCACTTAAGATCTGATCTTTCACTGGTCGACTAAGTTTAATCTACAAACAGAATAAGAAACCATAGACGTTAGAAAAAAAAACGAAATTAAAAAAAAATGACCAAAATCTTGAAAATGAGCTAATTAAATCAGCTAAATTAGCTACTTTTCTTATTAAGTGTACCTGAGGTATCTTTTGATTCAACGCTTTGAAAACAGCTCCATCACAAATATCTTTGCTGAACACAAATAATTCAACCTAGAAAAGCAGAAACTTAATTTATATAATTAAACGCAGAAATAGCTGACAAGAACATAAATTCTCAATCCAATTCATTTATATCCCTTTCTGCACAACATGGATAACAAGAAAAAATTCAGGGAACTAACCAAAGATGTAATTCTAGGTTTTCCCCGAATAAATCTGTCGACAAGTTGTCTTTCTAAAGATTTCCAGTTGAACTTCACAACTGTTTCTTCACCTCCTTCGCCAACTTTTAGTGAGTAATCACAGTGAGCAAGGACCATTGGCAAAAAATCTCTCTCTGGATCATAGGCAACCAAATGCCCCTTAGTAACGTTCAACAGCAATAGCTCCTCTGAACTACAAAGACGTCAAAAATATTTAGCTGAAAAAAGTGTTGTTAAGGATTAACTACGCATTGACCTGAAGTTAGGCTTTAATGAACGATAAACATAACCTAATTAACAAACATGGCGGTTGCCAAGACAGAAGACTGCTGGCAATGATAATAACTGACTCATAAGCCAAAGGAACCCCAAAACCATATAAAATGTACATAGAAGCGAATGCGGTTATCACGACATTCACCCTGTCCTTTAAAGATTAAGTCTACAACTGGGTGCCTGATTCGTTCAGAGCGCCGCACAGGGGTGTGTTCAGATGTAGTAGGTATGTTAGCTTTATTGGTAGCTGTTGGTACTTCTTGTTGCGCAGGAGAATTTACAGCTGTGGTTTCTGGCGCATGATCGTGAGGCTGAATTTGAACTTCAGTTGTAGGTGGAGGTTTGGGTGCAAAATGCTTCGTTGACACAGTTGTCTCCCTACCATCAGGATAACGTACAAAGGCATAGTGAGGGTTTTCCTGGAGTAGCTCCACCTCGTCGACTAACGGATCAGTTTTATTTGTGCGAACATGACGCTCGAGGAGTACAGCACTTGGTTCTGTCATCCAAGTAGGAATCGATGCACCTGAAGAAGATCGTCTAGGAAACTTGAAGAAGCGCTCGTGAGGTGTATCATTTGTAGCCGTACAGAGTAAGGAACGAATGGAATGGAGGGCGTCAGGTAGAACAACCTGCCAATACTTAATATGTAGATTCTTGGATTTCAAGGACGCTTCAACAACTTTCCATACAATACCGTTATATCTTTCAACTTGACCATTTCCTGCAGGGTTGTAGCTTGTTGTTCGACTTGTGGCGATCCCTTTTCCTCTTAAGAATGCTTGCAGCTCATGGCTCATAAACGATGCACCACGGTCTGAATGAACAAATGCTGGCATGCCAAACAGGGAGAATAGAGTAGTTAAGCACTTTATAACTGTAGATGTTGATATATCTGAGCATGGAAACACGAATAGGAACCTGGAGTATTCATCAACTATGTTCAGGAAAAACTTGTTTCCGTTGTTGCTTGGCAATGAACCCTTGAAATCGATATTGATTCTTTCGAAGGGTTGAGTCGTTTTAATAAGTGGGACTTCCTCTGGCTTGTGATATCGAAGCTTAGATTCAGCGCAAATTTGACATTGGTTTGTGACACGCTTTACCTCGTCCAATGAATAAGGTAAGTTTTCGCTACGAACAAAGTGGTTAAGCCTGGTAACACAAGGGGGGCAGAGTGCCTCGTGGAGGTTATACAGGGAATCTTGAGGTGCAGAAGCACAGGTCGCTCTGGAGAGTGCATCAGGGAGTACATTCTCCTTTCCTGGGCGGTATACAATGTCAAAGCTGTAACATGCTAGTTCAAGCCTCCAACGCATGATTTTGTCGTTATTTTGGTCGGTTCTCAGAATGAAATGTCGCCCTGTCAGGAAATGTCTCCAATGCCTGATTGCCTCAATGATAGCTTGTGCTTCTTTTTCTATGGCAGCATTCTTCAGTTCACTTCCTTGTAGTGAACGAGAAAAGAAAGCGACAGGCCTGCCCTCTTGGCTGAGTGTGGTTGATAGTGCTACCTCAGATGCGTCAGTTTCGGCTTCAAATGGTATAGTTTTATCAAAAGCAGTAACAAAGGCTCCTTCTACAGTTTTCTTCAAGTTGTCAAATGTATTGACAGCTTCAGGTGACAGAGGGAATGACTTTGAACTTGTTAGTGGCTTAATGCGGTTGGAGAACTCTGGGATCCACTGAGAGTAGTAAGAGAACAGACCAAGGCACCTGTTGAGTGACTTAGAATCATGAGGCACAGGTAGGTTGCGCAGAGGGCTTAGCCTTTCTGGGTCTGGACGAATAACGCCTTCTTCAATTACATATCCAAGAATAGCAAGTTTCCGAGTTGAGAAGACACTCTTTGAGTCGTTGTAACAGATGTTCTTCCTCTTTGCTGCCGCAAGAAATTGCTCAAGGTTTGCATCATGTTCTTGTTGGTCTTTACCACAGATAGTGGTGTTATCCAAGTATGGAAATACTGCATTGAGATTGCTCTGTTCAACAAACTTTACCATCTCACGTTGAAAACAGGCAATCCCATTTGTCACACCAAATGGGAAGCGTGTAAATTAATAGAGATTGTTCCAGAAATAGCAGCTGGAAGTTGTTTCGACTGCAGCAGCAAGAATATTCTCTTGACCCTCTGTAGACATTGAAGACTCAGCAGGAACAGCAGCATTGATGAGTGTATTTGGAGTTGAATACGACTCAGAACTCATCAGGGCTGACTCAAGAGATCTAGCCTGATTGAACATAGTTTTTAAGTCGAGTGTTTTGTTTTCCAAAAGTCTTTAGCGTATAACATTTGACTGTAATCCAGCAATAAATGCATTACAATCTTTGCTTAGTGACTTCAGGGCTTGTAAATATTCGTCTAGTGTTTCTGTTGGAGCTTGTTTCCTAGTAGTTAAAAGATGGCGAACAAAAACTTCGTTTTTCGGTTTGATAAAGAGATTCTGAAGTGTTTCAATCCATGTCTTATAATCTTCACAATCTTCTATGTGTTGAAAGATGCTTGGGGAGACGAAATTGGATAATACTGCAAGTTTATCCAAACCTTCTTTTGGCAAAACGGCCATGAAGTTTTTAAACGTACGTTTCCAATGAAGCCATTCTTTTGCCTCTGTTCCACTGTTTGGATCGGTTTCTAGCCGCTCTGGCCGTAAGACTTTATCCATTTCCCCTTGAAATTATCGTTGATGAAATTGTAGTGAAGGATTAACTACGCATTGACCTGACGTTAGGCTGCCAAGAAAGAAGACCGCTGACAATGATAATAACTGACTCATAAGCCACAGGAACCCCCAAACCATATAAAATGTACATAGAAGCGAATGCGGTTATCACGACAAGAAAGATGGCAATGAAATATTTATTAGGGTAAATCTGCTCTATAAGGCAATTCGTATTTCAGAATACATAACCAGCCTGAGGAATAAAAGTAGCCCTTTTTTAAAACATAAAATTAAATGAAGTTCTCACCAGTGATGAATTCTAACAAAATCTTGGAAAGTTTATCTTACTTTTTATCGTCCTTCAACAAGCTTTTACATCGTCCAATAAAATTGTTATGTAAAGATACAAGGTAATTTGTCAGTGCCAAAGAACACTTTCCAAATCCTTTCCACGAAGGCAATAACATAGAAATCGGAGTAGCGTTGGTAACTTCCTTCTCTCTCAACTCTTTTGAAATTCCGTAATGACCTAACAAGTCAATTAAGACAACTGCAGAAATCTTCGTGATACAAACAAAGTGATTTCAGACATTACTCAACCGAATGCATTATTTAACACTTAATTAGGTAATGATTTGTCAACCACTGTTGCTCTCATGCATTAAAACAACTGAAGAGAACACATTAGTAAACAAAGTAAATAAATTAAATAATTCACTTTACATAGCATCAACCTTGACTTAACTTTTATTTTGTCACTCACCATCTTGTGGAATAGATGATCTAATGATTTTCCAAGCCATATTGAAACTGTTAATTAATGACTTCACATGCTGTTTTATGTCAGGGTCTACAAACGAAAAAGAGAAAATCAAATTTAAGCACTATTTCTTTGCCATGAAAAAGTATTTAATTGATCAAAATGTGAGACAAATAAACAAAAACCAATTTTCAAAAGTTATGAATGATTTCAATTCTATTCCATTTATCTTGACGTCTTAGCTATATATCTCCCTAAGAGAACATTTGTCTATTAAACAGACTTTAGATGCAAGCTACGAAGAAAGATGAATAATCTTGACAAAAACATGTTACAGCAGAAAAGGAACACGCATAAGAATTATTGGTATTTTCAAGTGCAAGACGTCAATACAATGGAAGAAAACCTTTTGTTTAATTAATATTGACAATATGAATACTTGTTTAACCAGACATGCTATATACAGAGCATCCATTAACATCACAAATCAAAAGTTATTTATTTCTAACAGCAAGTTGAGATCTACTGGCAGCAAAAGTAGTCTAACTTTTATAACTTAAAATAGAATAGGGATGCATGTCAGCAATGTAAAGTATACAGTTGATAAAACGTGAAATAAAGGTGAAAAAGAGAAGAAATAAAGTTTAGCTAAAATAGGAAGGATATTTTATAAAAAGATGTATTAACCATAGAACAACAAGAGCCATAGCTATTCTACAGCAGTAATGCAACTTACTGAAGCAAATCAGACACGCGTTTAAACAAAAACAGTGTTTGGATGTACCTCTTTTATATAAGTCTCCAATGGTGTATTTTTCAGCTTCATTTCGATCTAAGCAACGATGAAACTTTTCAAAAAGAAAACGTTGCAACTTTATGATATCCGGAAGATACTGAAGGGCACGAAGATGACATTCCTAGAAAAAGAAAAAGTATAGAAGTTTGTACAATGTATATTTTAAAATCATTAACTAGTGATCCTGGGCCAGGGTAAAGTTTCAATTTATTTTATATTAAAAAAGTAAAGCGGTAACAAAAATTCTTGTTGTAGACTGATGTTGAGAAGTCCTGAACTAATCATAACATATTTTCATGTTTGTAAATGTAGATCGTCCAGGTTGGTATAGTCCTGAGAATGACTGTTTTTGTTGTTGTTGACTGACGTTTCGACAACCTTAGCGGTAGTCATCTTCAGAGTCAAATGAAGAGTAAACGTCAGGTTAGCCATGTTTGTTATCTGGTTCTTACGTCATTGTCTTGTGTGTACAGGAAATGTGCATTGTCATTGTGAATTAGTGTGAAGTGAAATTTTTTTATTTTTAGTTGTGATGTGTGATTTAGGTGTGATGTTTTTAGTTGTAATGTGTGGGTGTCAATTGTGTATTGTCATTGTGAATTACGGTGAATCACATATGATTTGTACACGTCTTGTTAATGTTCTGATTGTGGTGGCTTTGTGTGATGTAGGGTTGTAAGATGATTGGTCTAGTAGTCGGTCAGTATGTGTTGGCTTGCGATAAACTGTTGTTCGTAGTTTTGGATTGTCATGTTTTACCAAACAGTGGAGAAAAGGAAGAGTTCCGCTTTCCTCGACAACTTTGGTACATTGTATTTGGCTGTTCTGTTTGTTGATGTGAGTGTGAAAGTCATCAATCTCGTCTGCATGTAGTGCTGTGATTGTGTCATCTACGTTGCGAAACCAAAAAGGTTTCCCGAGTTCAAACCATTTACTTTATTATGTCTATTTTCATTAAATATTTTCTGCATTTTAGTTGTTTTATTTTAACAATAAATTAATTGTTCTTAGAATAGCTATTTACACGTTAAAAAGCACACATACATTTAATTTTAAATCTGTCTTGTTCAGTAGCCTGCAATAACTGTAATTCTTATAAAAAAGTAGCTACACCTAGCTAAATATAAAGTTTTAAGAAAGATCAAAATTAAAAAAAGTGAGTAACAGATTAGCAACGTTTGCACATTACATTTAAAATCATTGTAAAGGAAATTAAGCATAACCTTTTTTAAAAATTCATCAAGTACTTCACACTTGTCTGTTGGCACTGTGACACCTTGAGAATATTCTTGGTATTTGAAGGACAAATGCTCAATGGTGATTTTCTTACGATTTCTCCAAAGTGCAGGACATGAAGGATCGAGTTTTGTAACGACATTGGAGCTTGGTTCATCTAATTCGTTGATCAATTTCATTAGCCGATTATTTCCTGGAAAAAGTAATGGAAAAATGTTTTGACCAATTATCTAACTCTATGTTTAGAAGAGCCTGAATTATACTTTAGCATAAAAATATACGAATAGAAAGTAAAACGTAGCCAAACTGCCAAACGGCAAATTGTCATTAAATTTTAAAATAACTTTGTTCTCATAATGGACGTTTTACAAAATGAATTTCTTTGATTTAATTTGCAAACTTTTTATAAAGAAGCAAAACAGGAAAAACTTAATGAACTATATAATTCTGAACATAAAATTTTATACAGCACATCTAATTGCTTAGACACTGATGATAAAAAACAAGACTAAAAGTATTAATAGAAGTGTCACAGTTTCGTGACTGCATTTCATTTGAAATTTCAACATCATCTTATTACGATTCCATGGGAATTTCGCTTCATTTTTCTTTCTAGAGATATTGATCGTGTTTTCATAGAAAATAATGATGCTCAACATAATGCAAAGTAATGTTACTCGACAGTATTTTCATTTACATTGTTGAACTTATGGAAAAAGAATTGTTTTTCTAAATTGAAGCTGCTTTCTAGAAAACATATTCGGAAAGATTAAAACCGGCTTTCAAGGTTTTTCTTACCCAGTCGTTCATCGCTGACCATTTTACCTAAGGCATCTTGCAACAACTGAGAAACAACCTTAAAAAGAAAATATGTTACTGTAACACAAATTCTTCAATATTTATTAAATACCAAAACGCAAAAAACTACAATATCACTAAGAGAAGATGTTCATTTTCAGAATTTATGTTGTTTTCTTTATTTTGTCTGCTTGCCTTGGCTTTAGATTGGTAAAAAAACACACGATAACTTACTGATAGAACAGGATTAAGGTAGGAAATCATAAATGCATCTTCCCAAGCTTGTCTTGACTCTTTACTGCGCAAATCAGTTTGAAAGATATTGACATTTCCTAACGATGGAAGATGTAGACGAAGATTATCACACGATTCAAAGTTTAGAGCAATAAATAATTTATAATCAATAAACAAATGGAATTGATTGATTGATTGATTGATTAAACTTTATTAAAAGAGGGTAACACGTGACACAACAAGTGTGAAAAACTTGTGGCCCTCAAACTAACAAACTACGAGATTAATTACAATTTAAAAACCAGAATTACACAAGACTAAAAATACTAAAAAACTAAATAATAAATTATTCTATGAGCATATCTGAATTAGCTTTATCATAAAGTTTCTTTTTAAAAAGTGTAGCTGATGAAATTTTACGCATAGTAAGAGGTAAACTGTTCCAAAATCGACTTGCAGTAGCAGCAAAAGATCGCCCACCATCATTTTGTCTCTTCGTTTTGGGTAAACAAATAGTTAAGTCTTTATAAGGGATAATCTTTAATTGTTAAGGGATAGCCGTGGAATGAGGCGTTTGGGTCGAGTCATTATGCATTCAAAAAGAACCAATCTAATAACTACTGAAATGTTTTGAAATCAATGTTGCTTCCCAAGATTGAAACTGAGTTGGATGAAATTTTTGTTTTTGAATATAATGTTGCCTGTTATTACGTTATAAAAGTATTGTATATTTTTCTTCTCGATTTTAGTAGCGACCAACCAAAGTACTGATATTTCTGTTACTTAGCAATGAACGTTTTGTTTATTACCATTCAGTACACAACCTGGTCGCTGGTCATAAAACTTCTAAAATCATGCATGAGCAACGTGGTGAAAATATTTCTTTTAATGATCTCCAAAAACAGTAGAAAAGAAAGAAATAAAATTTTAGATAATATAATAGAAAATCAAACTACGATAAATCGTCAGATTGGGATTTTTTAAAATACACTTCAAAAATTGTAAATGAATTTGATTAATGGTATGCTGTTTCAAAACAAATCAGTAAACACTATTGAAGTGGTATGTTTCACAGTGGTATATTTTTTGCATTTTACCAGCCAGTGTAAACTGTTTTGTAATTTGTGACAAACCTTTTAATTTTTCACCAAAAATTTAGACTCATTCATAATAACAAAAAAAAGAAACAAACCATGATTATTTTTTACGATTTCTACAAAAATCAGATGGATGACCATAGCAGCTTGTTCAATATTTGTACCAACAAATCTTGCAATGCAACGTAGATCATTTTTTATATGATCTTTTATGAATTGAACAACGTTATTAACAGGTGGTTTGATAATAGCTGAAATATTCTAAAAAAGCATAATCATAGAAAAGATATAGCATTAGAAAGTTTCAGCATTAATCTTAAGCTGCAATAATGAAAAGTTTGGCTAAAAAAAGCTTACACTAAAAATGTGTAAGAATCAGCTAGAACACTAATTCATGTTCTAATGATTCTCATGTTCTAATGATGGCTTTGGACTACAAGCCATTGAATCGATTTGCTCTCGACATTTTAAATCTTGAACCGTGTTAGAAATTAGAAGGTAGATAAAATATGTGGTAAATTCACATTTATTCAGTTTGCTTAGACATGAATTGAAATAAAATCAATTGAAATTGGCATCAACTTTAACACGCAGTAATGACTAATGAATCTGTGAAGGAATGAAATTAATTCGTTTACACTTACCTGAATTTGATCGGGAGTTGTTCCTAACAACATAGCCACATGTGTCAAACAACGTAAAACACAACACGATAATGGGTTCAAATTTCTTTGTGCACTTGGAGGTTGATCCTGTGCACGTCCTAGAATGTGACCAGTACTACTTCGATCCGCACTAAAGGAGATATGGAAACTACGTAAAAATACGAGCAAACAAAGACAAAAGAACATCAAAGACAAAAAAACTATCATTAGTTACATAATACGATTAAAGCTGGAATTTAAACCCGATTGTACCAATCAAAGGCAGAAAAAAAGGTAAAAAAGGACAACCAACACATGTCAAGCTTTTTATGTTAGTTCTAAGATTCTTACGAAACACAAAACCAATTTATGCAAACATGCAAAGACGAACCTCGACGCCTGTCTATTATTAGCTGCTAGCTGATGATTTTCACCTCCAATAGGAACACCACAAGTTGGGCAATTATACGCTTGGTTTGGACGTCCACACTACATTGATTGAAAAAAAAAGCGTTTAAAATGTCCAAACACAAAATGTGTTACAGTTTTCAATATTGCCTTTGCATAAACATTTTACATTAAAGGTAAAACCAGTAGCACATCCAAAAAGAAAATAATTGCGCACAAAAACATACTTATGTTAAAAGAAACTTACCTCAGTGATGACATAACGATGTCCGTTAATGCATTCTGGAGGGGTAAAAAAAAATACAAAAGTGTACATAATACCGCCATAGGATAAGTATTAGAGCATCATATGCAGAGCCAATCTCTATAACTTACCATACCACGTGCCTTGGGTAACGCCCATGACCTCGGGACCATCATCGTGAGGCATAGTGGGAATGAACGCACTCTTATAAAGGAATGCCATAAATAAAAAACTGTCATCTGTCTTACTAATTATTTCACGTCATTTCTGACATTAATCAACACTAAATTGTACATCTACGTTAAATAAAGTGCTTTTAGTGATGGAAATTACTACCACTAAGGTTGTTGAACAACACCAACATTCCTTCTCAAAACTCCATTGGATAATCTACTTTATAACGTCATGAAAAGATACTCCCGAATTAAATTAAAATAGAACTCATTAACCATTTAAGTTGGTCACTGTTATGTTTATATTTACGATTATATAATAAATATTGTAAACACATACCCTCATTGATCCTGGATTGAATGCAAGATTTGAGAAGGGAGCCAAAAGTTGATTATTTGGAAAGCAACTCATAACAACAAGGAAATGAATCAAGATTTCATTTAAACGTCTATCATTTAAAGTTTGGCCACTGTGTAGCTGTAGTAATTGCTGATGAGAACTGTTGTCAAAATTCACCAAGAGATTCTTCGCAAGAGGTAGCTTAAAGAGATTTAAATTGAAATGGTTTGAGTGTTAAGCATTGTGTTCAAAAATCAGTTCATATTCTAAAAACAATTACAACATTTCCAAAATTAATTTTGCACTTCCCAAAAAAATGCATGATCGAAAATACTCAAATTATACTCAGAAAGTAATGAAGAACTGCTCAAGAATTATCTTTTAATATTTGATAGCAATGAATAGTGCACGTGCAACAAATGCCAACCTGTAACCATAGCACAACAAGCAATGACGAATCCACTAGTTACTACACTTTTATTTTTTGTATAGTGCAAGTGATATCTAATGTTTTGGCATTTTGTTTCACTGTTACCCTATGAAATTAAGGTTTTTTGGAGAGTAATTTATTTAACTGCCTGTATATAAGATTCCAAAGCATTGTTTCTGCACACAAAATACCTGAGTTGCTAAAACCTGACATCCAGTAAGACATTCATCGAGTTGTTCCACAATCTAAATATAAAATTATATTAATCATTCTTACGAACATAATGACAAAAAAAGTAATTTTTTATAGTATAAATAATGTTTCCTGACCAACATACTTTACAGAACACATTCACATATGAGGATGTATTTTTCAAGATATTCAACAAATATGTTCATATATTTTCCGTAATGATGATACAAAATCTTTTATGAAATGTGCAATTGCTAGATTTATGGACAGAAAACAAATTTCTCGATCTAAAATATCGACTATATTTGATTCGATTCGTAAACGTAAAGAAAGTAAGAGCAAGAAGTAAGAAATCATCTCCAGAATTACAGAGAAGGTCAGGAGGGGAGAAAATCCTGCTACACAGTCTTTGATAAAGTGCAATAAATATACCTTTGAAGGAACCCGATCTTCTTTGTTTTCAGTGGAAAAGTTGGTCATTACTTCGCAATAAACTGCAAGTAAAATATAACAGGACTGGGCACGATCATCACAGGACATGTTCTAAAAAGAATAAAGTATAACAAGTTTGTAACGTTACTATGGCTGATTTGACTAACTGCATTTCTCTCACAGAAGAAAGATCACAAACATCTACTACAATTCAGCAGGTGATTGTAACTCCAAACAAATATAGGGCAAAATTATTTTCACAGTAGTCATTCGATATTTTACAAAATAAGCTCCTTTCTTGCAGCCTGATGCTCTAAGAAACTTTGAAGTAGTTTGTTGTTTTAAATGTTATGTTAAAAATGTTTGATAGCTAGGCAAATCAAAACCTGCACGTAATACAAATCACAAATAGAGTAAACGTAGACATCAAATTCATTAAAGGAGTGTAGATTTGCTCAACTATATAATATATCATATCAAAAGAAACATGATTTCAGCCTCAATTTTATATTATGCTATATAAATATACATTGGTCAAGTGAAAACAATCTTGTTGTTATAAGGAAAATAAATTATCTTACTCTCAAGATCAACTGTGTTTCTTCATAATTTGATGTTATTATTGCTTTGCCAATAGCTTCTCGTACTGTATGATAATTGTCGTGATGGACCATGAAACTGTCTGGTCTTTTGTCACGCTCCTATAGATATGGACATGCAAAAGACAGAAAAGTCAAAGTTTTATCAGATATACAACAACTATCGTTCTTTACTTTTTGAAACTGCTTTGAAATGTATCAGAAAGCATGCAACTTCAACATTGTAATGGTGGCCTTGTACATAAGCGTGCTTTATCTAAGCATATCATATGATAAATCACTAATTTGAATGTGAAGATCAAATAATTGACATCGTTAATAATACAATTTATTTCTAGAATAAAACAAACCACACATGTACGTATAAACTAGCTAATAATTGAACAAGTGGTTACCTCAGATTGTGGAAGCAAAATCCATTTCAATTCTTTGATCTTACATCTTTCTCTAACTCCATCGAAACCATTTTCATCATTATGGACCAACTGTTTTAGTAGGAATAACTGAAGAGCATATTCATTGTCACATAAATGTTTAGCTGCTTGGATGCATTTTCTGAGTTCCGCATTGCTCTTTAAGTTTTCGGAAAGATCGTCATTGAAATATGCAGGAAGTTCACTAAACGCAGCCCGAATTGCAGCAACATCTTTAAGGCTGTTAATGTCCAGGTTTTGTAGGTACGAAAATTCCTCAGTGTTCTATCAAGGATTCTGCACAACATGTTGATTTCAACACTGCCTTCAGTTTGTTTTGCTTTTAATAATTTCCCTGTTTCAACATCCTAAAGAAGATAAAACCAATAGCTATAATTATGCACTTTTTAAAATTCAACTCGAATTTTTACATTATCTTAAAAACTAAACACACTTTACTACAAAACAATAGATTTATAAGTGAATTATGTCTTTAACAACAAAGGAATAAAAGCACCCAAAATTTTGCAAAATGATTTTATAAAAACGTAATTTACCTCGATACAATGAACAAACAACACGCAAACGTTCATCAAATGTTCTTTGTTGGTAGAAATACCTTGAGCACGACAGAGATATTCTTCCAAATACGTACAAACTTCTTTTCCCTTAAAAAGCATTTTTAATACAACACAATACAATAATTTTTTGATAGCAACAACGCAAATTGATCTGTTCTGCTAGCATATTGATCGTTTCTTCGTGAAAAACCTAAACTCTCCGCTTTTTTTGTAAGTTATCGTAGATGGCCAATCGAAAAAAAGTGCTTTCCCGAAAAATTATTGAATAAAAATCCAAAAACACTCTCATTATAATAAAGATGACTTGTGATGAAGCAAGAGCTTACAATGTACAAGTAGATAGAAATGTTACCAATGAAACGCATTTCCGCAAGACATCGCCATTACTCGGCAAAATTGTGCCCGAACTTTAGCATAAATAACACTAATCACTAATTTTCCTTGCAGAAACACAAACAAAAAATGACGTTTCTCATTTAATGTAATCAAAATTTTAGTAACTAAAACGGGGTGGAATATTTTGATTTATTTTCACAGCATCAACATACCTTCCTTTGATTGCAAGAAGTTGTTGTAAAATATATGATCTTATAACTGGAGTGACATCAATGCTGTGACCATCGAAAGGAGAAAAATCTTCTGTGAATTTTTCATCGTTTATCACATAAGCAATGAATTTTTTTACAAGTTCATCTTGTGGCAAGTCATCACCAAAGCAATAAACAGAGACAACATTCATGAAAAAGGATTTGCAACGATTACGAAAACTTCTCCACAACTCCAACGAAAGCCTAAATAAATACAGTACTTGTAAATAGAAAGTTTTACTTTTTAAATTACATGTTTATCAAATCTAGCTGTTTAAGAAAGTCTACTATCAATCTAAAAGTTCTTTTAAATAAAACTATAAACTAAAAAGCAATATTTTCATTTCATAAGCATATATATAAAAGCAAAAACGACTCATTCAAGTGGAGAATGAACGTTGTTTTTCTGGACAAGACGCCATAATTTATGACCAAACGTTTATACCATACATTAAATACACACATGTCTACTTTGATTGTAAAGCTTTGAATACAAAATAGTTACCTTATTGTTTCATTAATTTGCAATTGAAAATCATTGCCAACATCGTGTCTACATGCAGGACATACGTCATGATTGTTAAGCCAATTGGTTATGCAAGATAAACAAAACACATGACGACATGGTAGCTGTACAGGATCTTGAAGTGATCTCTTGCAAATGGCGCATTCGTCATCAAATCTAAATTCTAACAGAAATGAACATACAACTAAGGTTCCATGTTAAGTATAATGAGAAAATGAACATACAATTAATTGTATGTTCCATGTTTAGGAATGTATTTCATGCTTCAGATAAATTGGACATTAAAAATTTGTGTTGACGTATGATACAATATAACACTTTACTGTATTCAATATTTTCAACATACAAATTGCAGTAACAAGATAGAATTACAGGTTGGAAGAATTTGTTAAATAATTGGGGGATGATTCAAATGCATTTAAATGACATATACTTACACAAATTTTCACGAATCAATACATGCAAACTTTCAATATATAATATACTATACACTTTGCATGTTTAAACCTAACAACTAACAAATTCGTTTTCGTTAAAGGTCGAACTGATACATTTTCATATTTCATGCAAAAGATCAACGAACAATGGACTTTAATATTCGTTTCCATAAAATATTCAGATCAAAGTAAAACACTAAGAATGTGAAGTAACATCAACAATCAAAACGATCTTGCATGTTCAACTCAGGGTTCAATTAGCAATTTCCATTCGTAACCGATGCGTTTGTCTCGATAAGACTCAAAGGATCTCGATGAATTTGACAATTTATGTATTACTTTTACAATGTGCGGTATTAAATGACGTCACAAATTGCAAATATTCAAAAGATTTAATTTTTCAAATGTCGTTATACCTTTCCTTTAAACTATTGAATGCTAAAATCTTAACGTTCATCGTCATTACCATCTTTAATATAAATTGTAACAAAATGTGTTGTTATGATACAAAATTTATTATTGAATGCAGTGTATTTTAACATAAAGACTTGAAACAGTAAAAGTATGTTACTGGGTTTGTTTTTCAAAATTAATACCACAATGTAAGAAATCAACATGCATTTTACGAAAATTATGATCATTACCACAAATGTTAATAACCGTGACTCTTTATCGGTATACTTACTTGACAATTCGTTTATGCAAATCTTTACTGCAGTCTTTCAAAAATCTTTCAATAACAACTATAGTACGTAGTGAGGTTAAGTCGGGACTTTCACCTAATGCCTAGAAAAGGAAATAGGCGCTAAAGGAAGTCTGCTGTTGAAAATCAGTGGCTTTGCTTTTTCAAATTCGTAACCTTTACAACTTGGTTATTGAACTTATGATGCATAAAATACAACTGGACACAAGTTTATTGACAGTCCACGTGTATTGTCTTACTACCGTAATGCACAAAAAAAATTCAAAATGATTTAATATAAAAGCCAAAGGCGTTTCCATTCAACGGAAATGAACTATGGATGTAAGCTAATACGTGAAAACTTTACCTTTAACAATTTCAAAGCATTACGACCATCATCAGTATGATTCAAATCCTCAGGTGGACAAGTGTGTTCAATAAACATACGTACAACATCCAAACGTGTGAACATGATCCTATAAAACGCGTAAGAACAGAATGTAACTTTTAGTAGATGTTAAAATTAATGTCTAAAACATAGAGTTCATAGCGACCTAATGAAGGATATTTTGAACATTTTTCTTTGTATTACACCAAATTTTTCAGAAAAACAAAGTTAATGAAAGATTTTATGTGTATAAAAATTCTTTAATAAAACATACTACGTTCGTACTCAGTCTCCTTTTCTCACAGCCATGATATCATAAACACAATTCTTTGCATATTTTATCCAAAGATCAATTGACACTTACCAACAAACTTTCAAAATCTGCTCAGATTTTTCTGACAAAAGATGAACAACATTTTTTGAGTTCCCACTGTCCGTTATTGACGCTTTCATAACCTGAATGATTGGACGTAGACATTGAACTTGATTACACCACGTCTTTCGTTTAAGAAGACTCGTAAAATCATTTAAACTAGGCTCCAGTTCTTCCAGACAGCACTGAAGAGCCATTGCATCTAGGCACTAAAATGGTGGGAGAAAGTATACCATTGGACAAAGTTTTTTAGGCAAATGGTACTGTATTAATACTTGTAATGAAGTGGAGATAAAGTATTAAAATTTGCTGTACATGCTTTGACAAAACAAAAATTGGTGGGTAGAGTATAAAATTACATATCACGTCTATATTTCTACAACAACAATATTCCACAAATGGAATAATTTTCCACAAATAACTAACTTTGTGACTTACCAATTCTGAATCATTAATTGGTAATGGAGATTCCATAAGTTTTTCTACCACTTGAGGAAATGCATGAACAAGTTCAGAGAAATTCAGCAAACGTGATTGAATCATGGAATAGGCAAAATGAATGAGAGGAATGTCCAGGTGAAATTCATCGTTTTCATGAAAAGTTTGGTGTATTTGCCAAGACGTCGCAAGTACAGCGTCGTGTATCAACTGGTAAAATAGAAATATAACATTTGTTTAAACGTGTATACGTCCATTTCTATAAATGTTGCTTTACAACTATCGGTGACCAAAACGTACGTTGCTCTTAAAAATGTGCTTTGAACGCATTGGCCAGCACATTGAATATTTAAAGTTAACAAACCTTTAGCTCATTTTTAACAATTGGCTTATACATCATATGTAAAAAGTCATTTAAATAACAATTCGCTGCTTCCTCCTTGATGTCCGGATCTTCAAATGCGAATTTCGTCAATCTTCCCAAAGGAGAAGCATCAAAAACATTTCTTAAAAACGACAATCTGTTTGTAATAACTCCTGAAATGCAACAAAAGTACAGGTTGAAAGAAAGAACAATTGTTCTAACCAATTTTAAAATTTGATCGTTAATATATTCTCAGAGACTAACCAAACAAACAGAGTTCATCAAATTATTATAAATTATTAAAACAGTTTTAAATATTGAAAAAAGGTGAACAATTGAATTGAAAAAGCTTAAAGTATAATATAAACATTCCTTTTAACTTAAACAATGTGTGATGAGTAATTAATTTTCTCTATTTTGAGCTCACAGAAATCGCAAAGCTCGTTGTGTTTACTGAGTGGGAAGCAGTGAAAGTTTACATTCTTCAAATGGTTTGAATCTGGGTTGGTTGTTCATATTAATTTAATTTATATAAACATCTTCCAATTTTTATATTTAAAAATTTATTTATAATCATCTGATGGTTCAGTTCTATCTATAGAAAAAAACGATTAAAACAAATATTTCTTTAAATATAACAACAACCTAGAAGATCTTTTTTATGAACTAAATCAATATGAGTTAACATTCCATCTTAGATGTGACAACCACTTTCTGAAAATTTGAGCAAGATGCAAAAGTAAAGATTAAGTGGTAGGTATATTAGGTATATAATGGAAAATATAACTATTATATTTAAAAAAGCTTACATTTCATGTGGTTGATGATTAATCACATCTATTGCAAAGCAATTTTGAAACTCTTTGTGATTACTCCGCTTTGCAGTAGCTGTTTGCCAGGAAAACGGGCATTTCAGACCCATAATCTGGCATAACCACGTATGAGCACCGTTCGTTCGTGCAGCATCATGCCTATTTTAGTTTCCTTTCACTTTTACATGCATTCCAGTCTTCTCAAATGTTAGAATGATTTTACTTTAAAAATTTTAAATGAATTTAAAATTCTCATGTTTATGTAAATTTCTCATACGTGATAACGTGTTCGTGAGGAATTTATGTAAATTTTATTGCGCAAATCCTGGTTACGCAAAGTTTTTTCCAATCAAAATTTTATATTTTTCTTAAATTTCCCAAAATTACAACGGTCACTGAACGAGCAACCTAGAAATAAATAGCAAGACGCTCGCTTAATCAAAGCAAACCAAACAACCGTAAAACATAGAGGAAAACACTATAAAATTTCTA